TATTTATTTATTATTTATTAATAATATATTATTTGGTCCCCCAAGATCAATGATCAAGATCTGCCATTGATCTTAATATATGTCAAAACACATTAACAAGACCTATAACTAATCGAGTTGAAATGAAATGGATATAGAAGTTAGAAATAAACTAAAAAATATTCATTTTATTAAAACGAAGGACATGTTCATGCAAACTATCCATTTTGATAATAAATTTATAATTTTTTATAAATGTACTATTTTAATATAAATATATTGTATTAAATTTATTCATGTTTCTCTACATTTTTTATTTTTTTATTAAATTAATAATTAAATTGAAATTAACTATCTAATAAATAATACATTTTAAAAAAATAAAAATATCATTTAACATAAAACTTATAAATATATTGTATTAAATTTATTCATGTTTCTCTAAATTTTTTTATTTTTTTATTAAATTAATAATTAAATTGAAATTAACTATTTAATAAATAATACATTTAAAAAAATAAAAAAATCATTTATCATAAAACTTGTGCTAAATAACACGAGTTTGTATAATAGAAATTATACTTTTACTACCAAGCACATTTTTTCTTTTAAATCAAACAACTAAAATTATGCTAGGTTGCACGGTTTTAGTGTTTGAGTCACTAATATGATTTTACCTATTTTACTGAAATTTTAAAGTTTTTAGCCTCATTAGTAAAATCAATATTTTTTTTCCCCCTTTAATAAAAAAAAACCCAATCAATGACATTGGGTTCACACATGCTTTGAACATCACAGCAAACACATTTCTGTCTTCTTTCACCTTTCCTTCTTACATAATACATCGACCAAAATCATTTCTGTCTAGCTTTGTATTGAACATTGCCAAACAAGATTTTTTGAATTCCTTCAATCTGAGCAACTTGATGACAGTTTTTTTCTCCTTTTTCTCCTTTTATACATATCCCATTGATCAAAAGTGCCATAACTAAACTGGTCCATCTGAAATACTTGTGCTACCACCTTGTAATGAAAGTGCAGTGCTTTATTGACTTCTCTTTCAAGACAGAGTGACCTTTGATGAGTGTCTTCAAGATTATGGTATTTGAGTTTGAGAATCTAGGTCAACACAGAGAAAACGAAGTTCACTTGAGCCAAGTTGCAAAAACAATTGAGGAGGATAGAAATGAAAATGGAAAAATAAATGATTAAAAAATGGCAGAGTAGAGAAGCATGAGGATAACTCATAATGGTGAGTATGTGAATGGTTACAACTCAAACCAAAGGTAGTGTGGGGAAGTGGAATCCAAGACAAAAGATAGTTTTATATATAATCAATTTCTTGTGCTTAAAAAATAATTATTGTTAAGAGGGAAAACTTTTATAATTTTAATATTTTTACATGGGGTACTTATATTAAATTATTTTCTTAAAGCAATTTATGTTTTAAAGAAGAAGAAAAAAAAAACAGTTTATAAAATGAATTTCACCCAAAATTGAAATTACAAACTTCAATTCAAATCTATCCTTAATGACTTTGGAATTGTAGAGTACTAATAAGAAGATAAAAGTTCTTATTTTATCTTCATCACTTTTATTAATGTCATAATCTTTTTATTCTTGATTTTTTAAGTTTTTTGCAATTTACTCTTTAATTGTGTCAACTATCTATATCATTAATAACATTACATACAGTCACATGTGAGTTAATAATGTTATCACATCATTAATTAACTTACTATGTGATAAGTCTATTCATAACAATTAAAGATCAACTAACCCTACAGATAAGAAGTGTAAAAGCTGAGATGATAAAATATGAGAAAAACATGTGACAAAATTTGCAAAATGATAAAGGTAGATGGTAAAACCTAAGAAAATATAACCCTCCAAACAGGGCCCAGGAAGTTAATGTTTTCCTAGTCAGAAATGACAACTGATGAGAGCTTTTATTAGCACTGCAGCTGCAGAAGGAGGAAAATCTCACACTACTACAGACTTGATCATGATCACAGAAGTAGATAATAGATTCTTGGTGAAGGAATTTTTTTTATTTTTTATTTTTTCATGAAAATCCGATTAAAATTTCTGCATCCCCATCTCATAAAAACACACAAATAGCAGAACCTTCAGAATTTTGCAGGAAGGTAGGCCCTCCTACCAGAAAAGCTACCAAATAATTAATCAATAATTACAGTACATAGTTCTTCCTTTTTTTTTTTTCAAATTCCACCTTAACAACTTGGTAAGAGACAACTGAGTCTTTTCATAATGATGATGACAAAAGGTCACTCATTCATAGTATTATTTTTTATAACTTTTTGAATCAATAGAATGTCTCTAATGACAAAGGATTTATTAACTTTATTCTGTTTTCTATCTTCTCTGCTGTATAACCTTTTCGTGTAAAATTTTTGTGTCAATAATTGTATACGATTTCTTTAATGACAAAAGGACCATTGTCTGAGGGGGTTTGCATGTACAGAGACAGAAACAGAAGCAGGGAAATTGGGATATGCAAAACAAGCCCACATACACTAACAACCCCTCAATATCAGTTTAATCCAAATAAATAGGTCTGGACCATCAAAATTAGAGTAATGCATATAGCTGTAAATTCATTAGATTGCTAGGGCCATCTTAAAAGTTTCAAAAGGATTTTATTTTACTACTGTCTTACATCTCCATTTTTTATTATTTTAGTAAAGATTACATAAATATCTGGCTATTCTATTAATGGGAAGGAAAAATTCAAAGTATACTAAAAGAAGACTTTGAGAAGTATAAGGTGAAAACTCTTGCGAAGAAATCTTGCAGACTTTGACAAAAGTGTTGAAAGGCAACACTTGCTATGCAATCAATTATATATCTATCTGTTTATTTATTTTAGTAATAAAATACAATAACAAACGATTGTGTAATCGATTATATATTGATACATATATCATCTAAAGTTCAGTCTTATATTGATAACCAAACTGTGCATATTTTTCTGATATTCTTTGTTTTTCTTCAGTCATGCTCGTTTTTATTCTTTAATCATCACTATCAATAACACGCCATAAAACTGGTTTAGAAAGTGAAAGGAAGAAAGATTGGAAACTATTACAATCTCATTTTATAAATGAAATTCAGTGTTTAGAGGTTCATTGATCATCGAATTGATCTTGGATTTTATACAGAAGTGAGGTAGAAGTGGCATGATTTTTGTTTGGATAACCGATATGAGAAGAAAATAGTTGGATGCTTTTAAAAAGTGCAATTTACTAAAAATAGGTTTTGATATATGCAAATATAATTCTTTATGAATTTTCCATCCATAATTCTTTTTTTGCAGATTTTCCTTTTTTTTATTATTATAATTAACTAATTTGATGTTTATAGATTAAGAAGTTAAAGTAGTTAGATGTATTAAATTAACGAACACTTCATCTGTGAATATATACTGACGGGTTTTATGCAGGTGAGAGTAAATGTGGTCATGGAGTACACACTACTTTTGTTTCAAACCTTTCTGGTTTGACATGAAAAAACCACTCACTGAAAACATTAGCATGACACATGCTGAACAAAAAGGGCAAATATGAATTAGTCAGATTTTTTTCCCTGGCATATTTGAAAGACTTGATGAAAAAAGGAAGGAAACTTATATTCATATCGAAACATGGAAACAAACATGCTAGTATAGACAAAACAAAAACCAAACATATTTCTATGTGCAATCAAAATACAGTAGTTACTTGTTTGTTACTATGTATTATACAAAGTAATCTGTAATGAATAAAGGTTGGTTCATTTAGTAAAGTTATCATTCATGTGTTGTATGGAGGATGTTTGTTGAAATCTTGTTATCCACATAAAAAATTTGTTTATGACTGATTTTGTAAGTTTTTAAATACAAGTATATAGTCTCGTGCACCCAACAACTTGGTTAAACTTTTATATATAAAAATTTATATATTGTAGGCTGTATTAACAAATTCCCTGGCAATACAGGCATATACTGTATAAAATAAAAGGGTGACATGCATGTGTGAGTGTGTAGGTGAAGAAAATGTATGAGTAGAGACAAAAATCCGTACAGTGTATGTGCAGCAGAGAGAGAGAGAGAGAAGGTGTGGTTGGACAGCATAATAGACAGAGAAAAGGGTAAGGATAAGCAGAGAGGGAGAGAGGGGCAGTTTGGATTGAGAATTAGTGTGAAAGGCACGACACATGAGGAGACCAATAAATGAATGAGAAGAGTAGAAAAAAAAGGTCAAGGGTTGATAACCCTCGTCATAACCCTCATGATCGTTACGTCCTTTTTCATTCTCTACTCCCCAAAATATACCAGAATTCCACGTTTCCTTCCCTTCTTCCACACCCCTCTTTCTACTTTTCTTTTCATTTCATAATTTCCCTCTCTCTCTCTCTCTCTGAACAGTTTCACTTTTGTCCCATGTTACACCAACACCACTCCCCTCTCTCTCTCTCTCTCTCTATATATATATCATCAAACTCATTTTCCAACAACAACGTTTTCTGCTTTATTACCATCCATCCATACCATATATATGAACTTTGTCTACTTTTCATTTGAAGTAGCTAGGACTTCCCATTTTTCTATCTGGTCCACCCCTCTCTTCATCGCAAACCTGCCTGCATGCTACCTCTACTCTTTACACTACACACCCTTACTTCATTTTCTTTGATTTTTGCTTTTTTCAACTTCAACACCACTCTATTATATGCTCTATCGTTTCAATTCCCATTGCCAAGTGTCAAGGGGTGATAGAGACAGAAAAATAAATCTATTTAAAGCACTCCCACTTTATAGACATGTAACACACCCCTTTCATTGTTTTAGCATATATTCTCTTTCATTAGTTCTAATCTTATATGTATATAAGCTGATAAAGCTATAGTACCTAGTAGCTTCATTCTGTGCTATTTATAACCTTTTTTACCATCAACCTTGTGACCACACAAAGGGAGAGACCAAAAACCCTAGCCTTTTTGCTCCCATTGGCTCTACTAGAATGTGGATGGTGGGTTACAATGAAGGTAGTGAGTTCAATATGGTTGATCATTCATTCAGTGGAAGGAAACTCAGGCCTCTCATGCCAAGGCCGATGACTTCTCTTAACACTGCACCACCAACAACCACTGTTAGCTTAACTCACCCCCATGGCAATGATTTCCCTTCACAACATGATTATCACCACCATTTTGGTATTTATACAATGTTTTCTCTTTCCGTTGTTGTTGTTTATGTGCATTTGTTGTTTTGCCTTTCCGAATGCCTTATTTTTATTAGCAGCAGTGGCAGAACGAAACAAGAGAGAGCAGTTCAATGGTACAGGACCAGTTGTGATGAGCTCATCAAGGTGGAATCCAACCCGAGAGCAACTAAGAGCCCTTGAAGAGTTGTATAGAAGAGGAACAAGGACACCATCTGCTGAGCAAATCCAACATATCACTGCACAACTTAGAAGGTTTGGTAACATTGAAGGGAAGAATGTGTTCTATTGGTTTCAGAATCACAAAGCCAGGGAAAGGCAAAAGCGTCGCCGCCAAATGGAATTAGACGCTGAAACTACTAAGAAAGATTCAGGTGACATGACACTCATTCCATTCTTAATTAATCCATAATCATCTATTCATGACTAGCTATGCAGTTTTGTTTGTTCGAGATCTGTATTATATATGTGTAGATTTTCCTTTTACTTATTCCGATTGTTGCTTATGTCAAGTTGTGTTGTTTGTTTTTCCCTTTGTCCGCAGCTGCAAGTAGAGCAGTGTTTGAAGTTAAACAGACCAAGAACTGGACACCCTCAACAAACTGCAGCACTATTGCAGAGGTCTAATAATATTCCATGCCTAATATCCTGTTTCTGCTATATGTATTTGTCTTATTCACGGACTAATTTATAGTATCTACCCTAGCCTTTTGTTTGTTTTTAACTTGGGATTTGCTTAATAGCCAAAAGTTCATAAGCATATCTATTAAGTGGTGATTATTAGCATATGATTACTAGAGATCAAGTTGATGTTGGAAACATGTATATTATGGAAAGATCTGCACTAGGTATAGGGAAAGGACCCAACAAAAGCTTCATTTGTTGGGAAATGAAAAGGGCCTAAAAGCTGAATTCCTTCCCTTCTGTCGGCTCTGCTATTATGCAACTTACCTTTGCTTTTGGGTCTTGTGCTCATTCATGTCATTTGGGTCAGTAGTCTTAAGGGCATCCCGATATAATATTCTATGCAACTGAGTACCTTTTGTAATGGAAAAGACAACCTTAACCCTACTTTTATTTGACTTCTCTTTTAGACCATGCATGCACCCTTTAATTGAATGAATAGAAATTTGAATTACAGTAACAATTTTTTATAATAAAGTTCCTATAAAAAACCGTGCAAAATTTACTTTAATGTTATCTACATATATTTATATAATTTTTATTGGTTGTGTCTATTATATAGATTGTGCCTATGCAAGTATTTTTCTAGGAACTTGGACTGCACAATTGAAATGTGTGCTACCCGATACTTTTTTATCCTTTTGTTTCCTGTTTTTCATTTTTGACATACAGATATATATGTGGTTTTCAATTTCATATGTTTGCATGGCTGCAATTCAAATCCACAGGAATCTGTTTCAACACAGAGGACTGCAAAAGCAGTGGCTGAAGAGAGTAGAACAGTTGAATCGCTCCAATTCGATGAAGGGGAATTACAACAAAGAAGAAACCTTTTGGAGAGGAATGCAACGTGGCATGTGATGCAGTTACATTGTCCTTCTCCTTTTGCACCTGTCATACCCCTCATAAACACCCCTCCTAATGCCGCTTCAGCTATCAGTATGGCCACTACTACAACCACAGTAACAACAACAAAAATGGACCCAAACCTCATTAAGACACATGATCTCAGCTTTTTTATTTCACCCCAGAGAGAAAACAGTGTTATCTACTTAAGTAGTAGCAGTAGTACTAGTGAAGATGATAACTGTGTGGAGTCTCAAACCCTTCAATTTTTCCCATTAAGGAGTGGTGATGCTTGCAATGACAACATGAGGGATAAGGAGACAGAGATATCAGCTTCAGCAATGAATGCCAATAACTTGACCCCAAGTCAGTTTTTTGAGTTCCTTCCTATGAAGGAGTAATATCAGAAACACATGCTATAAATGTAAAATGATGGGAATGTGTTTTGATATTGTTGTTTTGTTGAAAAATGGCACTGCTTTTATTGTTAGTTGTTAGATGATGTTATGTTTGAAGGAATTGGTGCTGTAATATGACACTGACTTTGGATGAAGGTGTTGTATTTTACCTTAAACTGCATTTGGACTATGTTGGTTGAATCAAAAGTTTTGAGTTATTTACATTCCATCTTAGTATTTGATTTTAAGACATGAAAATGGGAATAAGATGTGACAGACTTGCATATTGGATCAATTTTATACGCATATGCAGTGCGTTAATTTAATTCTACTGGAGTAAGTAAACTTTCAATTATAGTGCAGTTTATGACAAATGAAGAAATCACATCAATGCAAGAGATGGCGAACAAGACAAGCGCATTTAAAGTGAAATCCTGGTATTCAATTGAAAACTCTTTTGTATTTGATTAATGGATATTAAAACTTAAATATCTATATGCCTATTATTATTGTTAATCAGTCTTGCTCTTCTCATTATGTGAAATTAAAAAAGATATAAAATGCATGATAATCGAACTCATAAAGACAATGTTGGAGAGCATAAAGAAATATCATTTTTTTGCATATATTTTAGATCATATTCCATTTATTGAATGAAAAAATATAAATTGTTTTGAATATCTAATTGAAGTAAGTATCTTTAGAACATGATCACGGGTGGTTTTGAAGTGAATAAGTGGCATGCAATTAAAGATTTGTGAAAATGATTGGCCTCATACGTTGATGGATTCCTCTTCCTCACTTAACTATTGATCCGTACAAGTTCAGTAGTTGCTCACTTCATCTATTCATTCCACACACACACACACACACACACATATATATATATATATATAGAGAGAGAGAGAGAGAGAGAGTAGCAGGGACTGAACGCTTTAAAAGGTAACTGAACTGAGCAAAGCAAAACAATGAGCAAGAGAATCAAGTGCTGCTTTTGGAAACTTAGGGCAAAAAGTTTTTCACTTTTTTACTTGCCACCAAGACTCATAAGAAGAATATATAAAACTTGAAACTTGAATCATGTATCCTTTTGCAGAGAAAAAAGTATTAATATGTCTACCCATTTTCAGTGACAAACTAAAATTATACTACAATACTTTTGTTCCAATGTTGATGCATGATAAAACAACTCATCCAAGAGTATATGCTATAAGTAAAATGTTATTTAGACATTTTACACTATGTTTTTTTTTTGGGTCCTCAAATACAATTTTTTTAAATTATTTATTTTCTTCTAGTATATATATATATATATATATATATATATATATATATATATATATCTAATTTTTAGGTTTCACAATTCTCTTCATAATTAGTTAGGATAAATAATTAAAAAAAAAACATTTGTATAGAAATTCATTCTCTATGATGGGGATATATTTATTTTAATGTAAGATGTTACAAAAAAAATGAATTTTGTGTTTAGATTTCAACTAAAAATCTAATTAAAAATCCAACTTTGAATATAACATTTTAAAAAATTACGTATATTACAGTTTCTCTCTATTTTCCTTTTGTATAGGATCAAGATTAAATACATGTTTTTAAAAAATCAGGAATCCTGAAAATTACCATTTTTAAGAATATTAAATTTTGTTTGATTGATAAAAATATATCTATATAACTTTTGAAGAAATGATGAAGTTAGGTGAATTCTTAAATTTAGCCCATTAAATAATTTAAGAAGAGTAGCTTTCATTAAAACTTTAATTTTAATTCAAAATTTTGTATTTTCACCTTTGCACAAATTGTACTTAATTACAAAAAAATGTTGTCATGTTTTTTAATAATAATTTCTAATAATCATTATCCATAGACATATTGATTGAAGATGTTTTGTTTCCAGAAGGCATATACTGGTAATTTTCTGATTGCTCTGGATCCATTACATGAAAGGGAAGAAGAAAGAACAAAAAGTTAAACTATGATTATTTTAACATAAAACATTAATTTAAAAACTAAAATATTCCTATTTAGTTATTTGTCAGTAAAAGTTTTATAAAATCTAATGTTTTTACGTAACAGCAAAAAAAATTATAAATGTTATCTTGAATTTGTAAAAAGTTACAAAGTTAAAACAATATTATATTACTATAACAACTATAACCGTGCAAATGAAAAATTATTATATTTATTTATTTTACTTTTTTTCTTTTTTTAACTATTAAATAACTGTCAGTTATAAATAATATTTTTTTAGACTTTTTTATTATTTAAGCAATAACTGTTTTTCCATTTTCTTTCTTTTATTTTATTTTATCTCTTATCTAATACTCATTCTTTTAATTAGAAATATTATATTTAAGTTTGATAGAAATATATAAAGTTTTTTTAAAATTAAAATCAAAACTAACACACATATATTAATTATTAAAATTATGATAACAGTAAATAATTGATTTAAAATAATTATTTTATCAGAATAACAGTAAAATACTATATTTTTATCAAATTTAAATATAGTATTTTTAAGTGAAAAAATGAGACAGAAGAAAAGAAGAAAGAATAACAAAAGACAGTAAGAGAAGAGAAAAACAATGAATAACTAATGAAAAATAAAAAAGAAGTAAAAGAGGAGAGAAGAAAATATGATAATAAATGAAAAAAGAAAAAAAAATCTATTTCTATTAGTTTAATTTATTTTCCATAATCAAATTTTATGTATCAACATTCAATAAATATAGATAAAATTGATAGATATTATCTTTAAATGCTTTTTTAATAAATTATTTTTTATATTGAATAATGAATGTAAACTAAAGAAAAAAAATAATGAATATAACGTTTAGTTACTCCTTTAATTTATATATTTTATACTACATTTAAAATATTTGTTATTTTTACAATTACATACGAATTTGGTGTGTATATGTTAAAAAGTTATTATGTGTATAAACTTTAAAAGAAATTAAAATACTATGAATAGAAACTAAAATAAATAATTTAAAAGGTCTAAAACTACAACATATGGGTGATATGGTAGGAAATGTAAAAAATAAAATAAAAAATGATATAGATATAAATGGTGAGAGAAAAAAATAAATATAAATTAAAAAATGTGTAATCTAAATTAAATTAAATCTATTTTGACTTATTTATTTTATAAAATAATAATAATCTTAAAATAAAAATAACTATAAGATTATTTTATTAATATATATATATATATATATATATTATAAATTAATTTAATAAGATATTTACTTATTATAAAAATATAATAAATAAATATAAAAAGAAGTATTTAATGCCACGTGTTTTAAATTAAATTATTATTTTAGATTAGAAAAAAAAATATGTATTGACACCCAATTTTTAAGATATATTTAATGGACAATCTAACATAATTTTTTAAGATTGATTTATGTAAAAATAATAAAATAGATAAATAATAATATAATTTTTTTTTAAATTATTGAATGAATATTTTTATTTTTGTACAGTATCAAAATATCTACATTTTTTATATTAATAAATCATTCAAAAAATAATGATAATAAAAATTAATTTTGTAATTTTTATTTTTGAATTATGAATTTTTTCTTTTATAATTTATATATTAAATTATTATATATAAAAAAATTATTAATAGATTTTAAATTTGTATTTAAATATTTTAATTATTTATTTTTATATTCACATTGATAATTTTTTTAATTTTCAATCATAATCTATTAGTTTAATATAGATAAAATTAATAAAAAAATATTATTTATTCAAAAATACAGGTCATTTGGAATCATCAAATTTCTTACAGACTGTACAGAATAATCTGTTTTAACATTTCTTTGATTAAAAAAACATAAAACTGTAAAAAACTGATACGAAGATAAATTGTTAGAAAAAAGTAATATATATTTATAGAGACTCATTAAATAATATTGAACTTTCTATTGATAATTTCCCCCAAATAAATTACTTTAATGTTTGAAATTATAATTGCTTATCCCTACACGCATTCTTTCTGTTATAAATGAGAAGCCAAGGTATTACTCTTGAGCAAAAACAGGGTTAGCAAAACCAAAGGAACCACATTTTTCTTCATCATGTTGAGGCCCATCCACACTCTCTTCTTCACCATCTTCCTCTTCATCAACATTTCAGGTATTTTCTCTCCTTCATTTTTTTATTTTTCTTTCCAACAGTTTCAAAACCTGCACAAAAAATCTCAGATCAATTTTTCTCACACACTCACTACATGCATGAACTAACATTCTTGTCACTTGCTTTCAACAGTGCCTAAGCCTTGGGCTTCAGCAACCACACTAACAATTTCCAACAAGTGTTCCCATCCAGTGTGGCCCGGGATCCAGCCCAACGCAGGAAACTCCGTCGTGGCCCGCGGCGGTTTCCTCCTCCCCCCTAACAAGACCCACACCCTCCAAGTCCCCCCACTCTGGGGGGGCCGCGTCTGGGCTCGTCTGGGATGTAGCTTCGACGCTGCGGGTAAAGGCGAATGTATTACTGGAGACTGCGGCGGCGTCCTCTTCTGTGACGGGCTCGGTGGCACCTCGCCAGCCACCCTGGCGGAAATTACCATCGGAGCCGACCAAACCTTCTACGACGTGAGCCTCGTCGACGGCTACAACCTCCCCATATCCATAACCCCAATCAAGGGCACAGGAAAGTGCGGGCTCGCAGGCTGCATGAGGGACGTCAACAAAATTTGTCCCGCGGGCCTACAGGTCCGCTCACGCGAGGGCAATCGCGTGGTGGCGTGCAATAGCGCATGCATGGCCTTCCACTTGCCAAACTACTGTTGCACGGGCAGCTATGGAAGCCCACAGACCTGTGGGCCCACCACATATTCTAGAATCTTCAAGAGAGTGTGTCCACGGGCTTATTCCTTTGCCTATGATGACCCTACTAGCCTCTTTTCTTGTTCCAATGCTAATTATTTGGTCACTTTCTGCCCTAATTAACCCTATCATTTTATTCAACCATAATTTTTATCTATGGAATGTGTTATGGTGTGGATTAATCATAAAATAAAATTCTATTACCAAATTCCAATTCCAGTTTTGGTTTGAACCATTCACTTATTATATTTAGCAGCCTCTTCCTTTATTGGTTGAGAGAGTGCATTGTTTTGGTATCTGATTTTTCCTAATTGGTAATAATGGGTCCTATAAAGTGGATTTTTTATTTTTTTTTGTATGTGTGGTGTATTTATATGACAATATGCAGTCTACGTTGGACCTTAATTTATTTGACTGAAAACTTTTTCTGGCTTTTTTGGGCTAATTTTTTTCATCTAAATAACTTGTCCTTTTATTTATTTCTCATTTATGTATATATTTATTACATCCACTGTTTTTTTCTTCTCTACCAATGATGTTTCTTAAAAGAGGATCACCACCAAAATCAAATGGGACTCACGCCATACACAAAGTACAATAATAATCCAAACAATCTAAAACCTCACAGTCAAAACCACCAACACATTTCAGAGCTTTCAATCACAAACCCCAAAGCTGAAACACATATAGAAACAATGGCAACGAACTCGAGCACAAACAATGACATTGTTTAAAAATGTTACAGATGATGTTTTTAAAAAAGGATGACATAATTTGTGTAAATCTAGGTTTATAGCGGAATTATTTCTCCAATGTCAGATCCTAATACTAAGTGGTGTCCACATGTCAAAGACTTACATTGAAGGGTTGGCAGTTGAAGTCACATGCAGTGATGCATATACAGCAGACACCATCCGATAAAGTCCATGCAATTCATTGATTACTCAGTGGGGACACTAAATTCTAATCTTCATTCTTCAAGCAATGGATTTAACTTTTTGGGCATCACATTGTGCCATTCTTCTTCTCTTGGCAATCTCCTCTTTTGGGTTTAGTCAGAGTCTCACTCAAGACAACAATGTCAAGCATCAATGGAGTATAATAACACTTACCAAATAGTTTAATAGATCATTTTACTAACATATTCTGTAGGTTTTCAATAAGTTTCAATCACATTTTACTTACAAAAAAAAAAAAAAAGGTTAGCTGCTATAAAATAAAGAACTATAGACTTCATTTATGCACTTTCATAGTATATTTAATCGATGAAAGTTTTAAAATGGTATCATGTTAAATGTCTTGCATATTTCTCTTTCTAGTTTGGGCTTTTCCACACAAAAACCGATAACATAAAAAAAATTTGTCAACCCCATGTTGCCACATGTAGGTGCTCAATAATTCTCAACACTCGTTAGTGCAAAAATAAAAACAAAATTATATCACATGTCTTGTTTTTTCTTCCTTTAAATGAACATCAACACGTCTTATTTTTATTTCTTTGTCAAATGACATTTTAATTATTTATTTTGTGATTATGAGTTTATTTATAAAAAATAGGAAATATGAACATCCATAAAGGTGAGGTTCATGTCTGAAAGAGATATTTTATGCACACGTAACAATTTTGAATATAATAAAATAAAATGTGATATATAAGAGATGAAAGTATATATAAGTTTTTTTTAAACAAATTAAGAGATAAACATTTATCCTATTACTGTATCACTTGAATGTAGAAAAAAAATATAGGTTTAGATTTTATTTATTTATTTATGAAATATATTAGTCCTTGATTTAACTTTTGTGAACTTCTTTTTTTATGATTCTTGCAATATTTATAATATATATTTTTTGTTTAAAGCATATTGAGCTTATCACAACGTGCCATTTTGCGAATCTATTATGGTCCCACACCAAACACGACCGCAACAATACAAACCCACTATAAAACCCAACCCAAACCACAATCAAAACCGCCTTCTCAACCGTTCATTCAAACCAAAACGCTAAATCCCAACGAAAGAACCAATGGCAACAACGAACCCACCCGCGCCATCAGAATCCGACCCGAATTGTAAATCGGATCTGGATTCGTTTCCTTACTTCGAAGACATGAACGAACTCGAGAGAGTCTTCAACCGCTTCGACGCCAACGGCGACGGCAAGATCTCCGCCGACGAGCTCGACGACGTGCTCCGGACGCTCGGATCCGGCGTCTCACCGGAGGATCTTCGCCGCGTCATGAACGACCTCGACACTGACCGCGATGGCTTCATCAGCCTCCCCGAGTTCGTTGCCTTCTGCCGCACCGATGGCGGCTCTGGCGAGTTCCGCGACGCCTTCGACCTCTACGATCGCGACAAAAACGGCCTCATCTCCGCCGAGGAGCTCCACCTTGCGCTTAATCGCCTCGGCCTCAAGTGTTCCATCGATGAATGCCACGACATGATCAAGTCCGTCGACGCCGACGGCGACGGATTCGTCAACTTGGAGGAGTTTAAGACGATGATGACGACCTCCAAGAAGCGCGCGGCCGCCGTCAATGGCTCTGTCCATTAGTCTTAGCCGCCGATTGAAATTCTGTCGCGTCTCCGGTGGCTACTTCCGGCAGTACGATTTCTCTTTTCCCCTCCTTTGCTTTTTCTTTTCTTGTATGGTTTATCGTGTTCTGGTGAATTTCTCCGCTGAAACATTAGATATGGATCGAATCCGAATCATGATAGAGAATTGGAATGAAAATTCTCGCATGATTCGTAAAATTTACGTCAAGCATTTGTGAACAAACTGGTGTTCTTCACGTTTTTTTTTTCTTCTTCTTAATTTTAGGCTTAGATTCTCCAGAAAAACTCAATCGAAGTGGTTACTGGAAGACATGTCGGTTGGATTTCAGCGAGTCGTGAAAAACGTTGACGCGTTGACTGTATACATTAGGTAGAAGATGAGAGATATAGAAAGGAGAAAATAAAAATAAGGAATAATGAGAAATATTATCATGAGAAATTACTTATATTTTTAAGAACTATTAAATTTATTTTACATATTTATAAATATGAGTAATATTTTCTAAATGAGAAAAATAAGAAAAAAATATAAATTTATTTTATATATAAATTAAAAATATACTAATTAAAAATAATTTCTATAAGTTAGTTTATGCATGATTTAATTTTAATTAAATTTGTTTCTTAGACATGTTTATCTTAAAAAAAAAAAACTCAAATTCAATTACTTCGACGTGAATTTAGTGTGCCTCAAATATCCATCTTAATTTTCATAATCTGTTTTCTAATTTTTTACTAACAGGTCTTGTACTCAATTTTACATTCAAATCAATGATGCAGGTATGCCATGACTGATTCTGATTATTTTAAATACCAATTCTCATTGAAATTAAGCATTGGTATGCATTCTCATACCAAATATTTTCAAATTTTGTTACTATATTTTTTTTTTTAAATTGTCACGCTATTATTTTTAATATTAATTTGATTTTTTATTTATTTTTAAGTTGATGAATATAATAATTTTTAAAATTTCATTAAGTTGTTTAAGATGGAGAGTATAATGAGGCATGAGGTAGTTATGTTTAATGATGTTACATTAAAGTAAAATTAACGTTACAGTTTTGTGGAGCTAACGAATGATGATGTTTATCAATCTCACATTAATATTACTTTAGTAAATATGATCACGGCTTACAAGGTTTATGATGGATGACTATGATCTAAGAACTGAGAAATATTAACCTAATAATTTCATGATCAAATATTATTATTTGATAACTTATTCTAGATGAAGAAACATAAATACTTTTTGAACGAGATAGTATGAAAGAGAAAATTGTTAATGTAATTATTATTATTATTATTATTATTATTATTATTATTATTATTATTATTAATAGAAAAAGGTAATATTTTTTTTTCATTATCTATTTACCAACCGTATTATCTATATAGAGAAGTTCCTCTCTCTTACTCATTCATTCCTTTAAAATGTTTGACAGCATCTTATAAAAGCATAAAATGAAAAAAAAAAAACTGTTTTCTTTCTTTACTTTCGTATTTTCTTTTTTCATCTCCATATTTATCTAAATTAATAATATTATTTTTAATGAAAATAAGTTCCAAATTTCATCTTAAATTTTTTTTATTGAACTTTTGAAAATATTTCAGAATCAGCTTTTTGGAAATATATTAAAAAAACTAATTTCAAGTTTTTTTGGAAATTTTTGGAAACTAATTCTAAAAAACAAATCTAAAAATGAGTTTTAAATTGTATTATATATATTAATTAATTAATTAATTAATTAATACAATTTTGAAAAAAAAAACAAGTTATAATTCGTTAAATCCATAATATATTTTCAGAAAATACAATTCTGAAATTAGTTATAAATGGTTAAATCCGTAAATGAGTTGTAGGATTAAATTATGTTTTTTTTAAATATATTTGGGAATCTAAAACACCATAAATAAAAATCAAATGTGTTTTTTCACAAGATTTATTTATGCATAATATTTTATGTTATTCAAAGCATAAGTCATTGATTCTTAAAGTGAAAATAATACTCGAATGGATATGCAATAAATGGAAGTACAGCTGTTGAAAGTGGTAAAAAAGAAAAATTAACCTCAAATATATTTTACATATATTAGTAGAAATACAAAAAAAAATTGCAAAAAAAAATAACGATATAGATATAACAACACACATCAAATATGCACACTCTCCATACCATTTGAACATTGCAAAAAAAAAAACTGATTTCTAAAATCTTCTATTTTTTATATAATCAGTAAACGTGAGATTTTTGTTTCAACACATACCTCGTTAAAGATACAAAAAAATAAAATATAAAATTTACAAAACTATTGCAATAAATAAGAACAAATGTTAAGAATAAAATATTTTAACATCGTCTTAAAATTGAGGTTGAAGCTTGATATAAAATTTATTAGACACTGAATAATGGCACAGGCCCTTCTTTGCTAATGGGCCGAGAGACCACATGGTTGGCTCTTTCACCACCTTGATGACATCAAATGTAATGTAATGGACCATTCATCTTGTCTTTATCACATGTAACTCCAAAACACAATTCATGGACACAATAAACAAATATATATAATCTTTTTTCCCTTTTGTTTTTTTCTTCATATATTCTTATTTAATAAACTTTATCCTCAAATTATTAAGTTCATCATCAATTTGCATCTTCACTGTTTCAATTTGACCAAGTAAATAAGAAATCTAACTTGTTTTCCTAATAATAGGATTAATATTATGGATTACTTTTCGTTCTACGTCACACGCGCCAATACATTAACATTAATATATCTATCCATTGTCATTGATTAAACTCATTACTTAATCTTTTCCTATAATTTCCACTACTTTTCAACCTTAAGATTATCAATTTAACTATATAAGATACAATTTTTTAATAAAAAAATTCTATAAATCTATCATAATTTGTACATATCACAACAATAGAAAAAGTAAATACAAAAATAATATTGTACAATATATATCACATCTCTATTAATTATTAGAATCTTATTTATAATATTCTGTTTACTGTATATGCATGTTAAGTTATTAATGACAGTGTTCTCTTTTGCTTTCTAACCATATATGATCATGACATGACTCTGAACCCCTGTTATTAACAAACTTCTCTCTTGTCAGTGCCATATATATACTTCATCACTGGCTTCAATCCTCAATAGCTTGGTTGCTTCTGATTTGACTCTGAAGAAGGGCTGGGAGACAAATAAAGGGTGATTGAAGTTTTCACACAAATTGTAAACATGGCTGTGGCTGATGATGCATTTGATGAGCAGTGTGATTACCTCTTCAAGGCTGTTCTGATTGGAGACTCAGGAGTTGGGAAGACAAATCTGATATCAAGGTTTGCAAAAGATGAATTCAGGTTGGATTCCAAGCCAACTATAGGTGTTGAATTTGCATACAGAAACATCAAAGTCATGAACAAGCTCATCAAAACACAGATATGGGACACTGCCGGCCAAGAGAGGTAACCGAACTCATCAATTTTGATTTCTTTTCAACTACTTCCAATCAATCACTATGTTTATGTCTCTTTTAATTAATCTGTCATCATCATCATCATCACTTTATATCTTCTCTTGTTTTCTTCTCCACTTTGTTTGTCCCTTTCTTTCTATTTGTCTTCATGATCTTGGCAAATTAAAGTTAACCAGGTTGTGTTTGAGTAGTTAGGACAAAATTTAAATACAATTCTTTAGATACTGTGGTGTTTCTTTTAATAAGAATTTATGTTTTGTGTAGTCCATGTATCTTTACTATATAGATTATCAGAGTCAAATTTTAATTTTGATTGAAAAAACTGTATTAAAGTTTTGTTCTGGTGGCTAACCAAATTCTTGGGCTGATCAAGAAATACAATAAAAGAAAACAACCCTTTTGAACCTGCAGAATGCAGAGCAGAAGTTGCAGAACTGAGTTGCGTGGTACTTTGGGATTTTGTCTTCTTCTTGGTGTTGCTTTCATTTCTTTTTTTTTTTTACTTTTCAATGAAAAGTTAAACTCTTTTGTTTTCCAACTGGCATTTTCAAATTAAAAGTCGGTGTCTATGGTTTTTGGTTTGCTTAGTCTAGAAGAATTTAATGAATTAAATTAATTTGACTTTATTATAATCAGACTAATTACTTTCAATTCATATTACTTTTCAATTCCATGCCTACTTTCCCACAATATCATGTCCCATCATCTTTCTTTTGGCTGCAATTTCTTACTTTGTCTTTTATTTCGTGATGAAAGGTAAAGAAAAATATAAAGATACAAAAAATATTTACAACATTTTTCTGAATATGTTTTGGATTTGATTCTTGTAAAAGTACAATGTAAAATTCAGAGGGGTATGACAATGAAATATGAATTCAATTTCTCATACAAACTATCGAATTCATTACTAAGTCATAGATGAATTGAATAAGATTAGGTTTTGGGGGTGAAAGAAAATCTAGAAATCCTTCTACGTGGGACCTAAAAGACATAGGATTTATATGTGTTTGTTTAAGGTTTATAAAAAGTGCCCATACTAAATATTATTTTAGTATTTAAAAAAAAAATTCTGTCAAAATAAAAATCTCTATTTAAATACAATCAATCACATTCCTCAAAGCTAAAAACATTTAAATTATATTCTTATTATTCGTACAAAATCTTAAACAATAATTATTATGAATACTTTTAAAGTATCAAACAATAATAATTATTACTCCACAAAAATTCTTTGACCTAATTCTTACCAACTTCCCTGATGTTCAGGTCCAAAAAAAGTGTTAGGATATGTTGAGATGCACTTTGGCTCCCTTAATATAACCTAACACATTAACATCTGAATAGACTATTACCAAACCTCCATGTGATTTCGAAAAGACATTTAATTAAGTTCAGTAATAATTATAATAAAATTTAATAATAATAATAATTATGTTCTCTTCAATTTTGTTACTTTATCCGTGATTGTGTCTTTTTTTGTTTCCATCTCTTCGAAGTGTAGAATTTAAAGTGGGGCAAATGAGTACTAACCTCATTTTTCAATTACAAATGAGTGAATTTAAAGTAGGGCAATCTCATTCTAGTTTTTTTAATGCAATATAATTTTTAAATAGGGCAAGGTTTTTGGTTTGGTGGGCCCATGACATGATGGTGTGTAAGAACAAAATTGAAGTCGAACAAATGCATCTGAAATGGTGTTGAAGGTTTTGGTGACCAACCCCAATCCATTATCAATATTTTGTCTCTAATTGCCTAACTCACCTACACTACACCCAAATTCATCATCAACAGTTTGCACTCGTGAGAACATGATTCAACCACAAATTTTCTTGCTTAATTTAGCATTAGCATATGATGTATTCTATTATGTGTTTGTCAATATTTTGATCTTACATTCATTCTCAAAGATATGTGAATAATTAATTGTATGGTAGGTTTAGGGCTATCACAAGTTCATACTACAGAGGAGCCTTGGGGGCAATGCTGGTGTATGACATAACCAGGCGAGCAACTTTTTTGAATGTAAGAAAATGGTTGCATGAGTTGAGAGAGTTTGGAGGAGAAGACATGGTGGTTGTTTTGGTGGGAAACAAATGTGATTTGAGGCAATCAAGGGAAGTTGAGAAAGAAGAAGGAAAAGGGTATGCAGAAACAGAAGGGTTATGTTTCATGGAAACCTCTGCTCTGCAGAATCAGAATGTTGAGGAAGCATTTTTAGAAATGATCACAAAGATTCATGACATTATAAGCCACAAAAGTTTGGAAACCAAAATGAATGGAACATCATTAAATCTTCTTAGTGGGAAGGAGATCCACATACCTGATGAAGTCACTGCTACTAAACAAGCTAATTATTGTTGTTCATGATTATCATAGCTTGCATGATGAATTTTTGCTACTTTGCAAGTATCTTTGATCTCTCAGTTGTTGATTCTTCCCATTTTTCTTAGTTTTTATCTGATATATGTATGGTCTTGTGATGAAGTACATTATCTATCCCTTTTATGTACAGATACTAGGTTCACATTTTCTTAGAAATGTGTGTTTACATAATTAGATATGATCTTAAATTAGTTTCACAGCCACTACAGATGTGTGTACTATGTGAAAAATTAATTCTTGATATAAAACAAACAAACTCTTAAGATAAATTTCATATTTAATTTTGACTGTTATAGTTTGTAAAAAAAAAAAACAGCATAATTTCAAGGGATCTTATCAGTATCAGGATCACCCTAATGAATTGTTTGGTTGAGACTATGGTTTGTTTGGTTAAGATTGTGTCCCAAGACCAAGAAGCAAACGTCAACATCTTTTTTTAAAGAGGAAGTTTCCAAGCTGAAAATCATACAACCATATTCAAAGTATTTTTTAGATTAAAATAATTAACTTTTCACATTTTAATCATCTTCAGAATTAAGTGAAACATTGTCTCTGTTTCTATTCTTTGCATAAAATGAATTTAAAACGAGTAATGTTTATATTAGTAGACTTAATCATTATTGAATAGATTAATATATGAATCTAAGTTAAAAGATTCAAGTTTAATAAAATAATATATTAGTAATTATAACTCGTTTATAAAAAAAAAAAAAAAAAACTACACTGGTATTGAAATCTTTATTCTCATTGTGAAAAGTTATAACGAAGAACATAAATACACAACGTAATGAAATGAAAGAATGAAGATAGTAAAAGTACATAAAGAAAAATAAAATAAAATTCACTCGTTGTCCATCTTTCTTCAGCTGTTAGAAGTAACAGCTGCAAAATTTCGTAACTATTTATGGACATCAAAATTGAGAATGGATATTACCACAATTACAAAAGAATTGTGTACAAACAAATGAGAAATGGTACAACCTGACAATGACTGCACTTGCAGATTGCAAAAGGAAAACCAACATCAAAAGAGAAAACAAAGAGAGAGAAAGTAAAAGGAAAGGAACAAGAGTGGAAATAATCACAAAATGGACAATAATGTAAGTAAGGTGATGGCTTCAACCACTCACTTTTTTCATTGCAAAAATTCTATACAACTTGACAACTTGTTCTCCACCTTTCAGCAGCAAAATGAACAAAGATTTGGTTAGTTGTATGATTGTTTCCTATCTTGCTGGGTCTTCTATAACACGCGATGACTGAGCCTTCTCATGCTTCCCTGATGCACTTGGTCGAGGCACTTGAGAACCAATCACTGTCTTCTGTAAAGGCTTCAGAGCCGCCAATATTTCAACAAATGTAGGTCTCAACTTTGGATCTCTATAATACAAAAAGGAAAAATCCAATTAGGCAAAATAGAAAATTTTCCAGACATATCCTACGTAAGATCACTTGCCTGTATTCTGTAACAATTTGTACAGAGACATTTGAATCATGTCATTCATTCCTACTACTGTTTTACCTGGTAACCTAATACAGTGACACCTCCCAGTGATAGTACACCTCTTAAGGCCAGAAGTATGATGAGAATAATAATTTGTCAATGTGTTTGGCACCATCAGCATATTCATTCTGGTTCCATTAAATAATCTAACATTGGGTAGTTCATGGCCTCTTAGCAAATCATAATTGTTGGATAGGATAAGGGAAATTGACAGACTTATTTTTAGCAATGCAATATTTGAGAAGAGTGGTGATGAAGCATTTAAGGAGGAACATAATTATGGAAGTGACAAATTTCTGCTTCAGTCTCTACTTGTTTTCAAATAATAAATCTCATTGATTTGCAAGATCAATAGTTTAGACTTCTACAATTATGGAAGTGACCTAATTTTTTGGTTGCCCTACTCAACTTTGTCCTTTTTTTTTCCATTTTCGGCAAAGATCTTTCTCTTTAAAGTAATAAGGAATTGTGATTACAATGTAACACAAATGAACTATGATAATGCAAAAAAGTCAGCTTTAATGGTTCCCCACACTATTTGGTTGCAGTCACTAGTCAAAGAAATTATTAAGAACCATGTTCAATTTCATAGAACATATCGGCAATCCAACATATGTAGCAAATGCTGTCATAAAAAAAAAATGCACCAAAAATTTGCAGACATTTTATAATGAAAAGTTTACTCACGTTTGCCAGCATTTCCTGATAATATCTGCTATGGTAGGATCCACATCATCAGGAATCTCAAGACGGCGATGCTGGAAACCCACAGCACCAACAACTTGCATTGGATTCATTCCACCCCAGGGTTGCTGCAAAGTAGAGAGCTCCCATAATATGACCCCAAAGCTATAAACATCACACCTAGATATAGGATCACAACTTATTAGCATCATAAAACCATGAAGGGTTTTTAAAAAGTGGCAAAGCCACTGTGAACAAGTAAACAAGCTTCAAAATTTTCATGTTGATGAAAAAAGATTTTATTAAATGGAGGGAAGAGGTAATTACAACAGTCTTTCTGGGGGGAGGGGGCTAATAGAAAATTTTGCGTCTACCAAGTTTGAAAATGAAAGTAACATGTGTATAAACTCCTATTCCATAACATATTAAAGGACACACAAAACATCCTTGAAAGTGCAGGCAATTTTGCATAATACCACAACATTTTAGCCGTTTTTCTTAGTAAACCATTAAATAAAATCATGAAAAATGGCAACAAAGTGGAAGACAACACCTAGAGTCACCAAGGAAATTATCCATATAATGATGCAAAAAATAATCGTTACTACTTGTTTCTGATTATTCATGTAACAATGTAAAAAAAAAAAAAAAAAAAAAAATAGTTACTTGTTTCTAAACAAGCCCTACACATGCCCACTTAATAGAACAAATATTCACATGTCGTTTTTAAATATGCAGCATGTCATTTGCAGCAAATTTAAGGAAAGGAGGAGTTGAAAGAAGGGAAAGGATGCAACCACACCTTGTACCCCTCCAGGATAATATCAGTAATAATAACAATGACAACAACAATAATGACAAAGTCAAGAGTAGAAATATTACTTCTCATTTGAAGGTTCATTTCTCAACACCTCAGGAGCCATCCACTCGGCCTGAAACATGATATAGAAAGTGGATTAACTAATATATTTAGCTGCAGTTAGATGGAAGAGCTTTTATCGATAAGTGGAGATGTAAAAAGAATGGTAATGCAAGAATTGGATGCACATGAAATACTCAAATAAAGAACAAACCAATGGCTGAGCAAATAACCTATGATAGAGGCTTGGAAAAGAGACACAACAACTATGTACGTAGTTGGACAAATATCGTTGGCTGAAATGGTCAGCAGCATTTACCTGCCGTATAAAGTGATTGCAACTGACAGTATCATAATGCAAAACTTATAGATGTATTTTGTTCTGATTTTCATCTTATTTGAATTTATGCTCACTTTTCACTAAAGATTATCTGCACATACTTCCTTGGACCTGTTTGAAATTGATACTATAACATGTGAACCAAATAATCCTTGACCTGAAGGTAGGTATCATCAAGCCCCATAGGCTCAACATACTATACCAAGCATATACTAAATGATAGGGCAAAATGTTCCAGGCCTCTAATCAATAGTAATAGTAAGTGTCTATGTTGAATGTGTACACATAAAAAGGATGAAAGAATAAATAAGCTGAATGGATAGAGTTTTAAGATAACTTACTGTTCCTGCAGTTGATCTGGAAGAAAGGAATGTGCTATGCTTCATTCGTGATAAGCCAAAATCACATACCTATTCAACAAACAGAAAAAAAACATCATCCAAGTCAACACATAGCATCCTCCATGCTACCAATAACTTTTGATCATGAAAATAAGTTTCACCTTCACAACCCAATTTTTGTCAACAAGAAGATTTGGGGACTTCAAATCACGATGCACTATCACTGGACTGCAGTTATGCAAATAGTTCATTCCTCTAGCCTAAGATTCAAAAGACACAAGTTATTTCAAATGGGCTTCACAGGTTGGCAATAGCAAATTAGCAATTACTTTCTGAATACAGCAGTGTTGCATTAAAAGACAATAGAATCTTACAGCATCCAGAGCCATCTTCAAACGCCTTCGCTCATCCAATTGACTGTTTGGTCTGTGAAGTAGTCTATACAAACTTCCTCTGCAAAAGATGATCTAGATCTCAGTATTTGAAGAATGAAAAAGGAAAAACAAAAAGCCATCAAAAAGTATTAATTAATCACATTAAATGAATACCATAAAGGAAGTTGTAAGGGATCCAAATTAATAAAATCTGAACACAAAATATAGTTACAAATTTTAAATTCTTACTTCATCTGTTTATTATGTTATTGATTATACATGTGCAAGAAGAAATGTTAGGTTTAAATAAATGAGATGTAAAACTGTATATGAATCTTTTAAAAATGAATGTCTAGAATAGTCATCTATTAGAATATGCAAATGGGCATTATTAGAAAATACATAAATCACTAAATGTATTTGGTTAGTGAAAAAATCTCAGCAGGTTTAGCAATTACTTTCCAATCAGCATTAGGGCTATAAGGAACTTGCCCATATCATTTGGTAAACAAATTTGGAAAGAATATTTAGTAGATGTAGCATTAATATTCAGAATCTGTTAGACATGTTTCTCCATAAGCACTCCTAGAAGAAAAAAACAAGAAAAAATGGAATAAGTTCTGCCTTAAGCTAATTTGTTCTAAATCCTTATTTTTAACTTCTGTAAAAGCTAATTTAGTTCGTTTCATTTTTTTAATAAAAACGTTTATGGAGAAGTTTTTCCAAACATACTATAGTCTCAGAGAGAAGTAAGATTTTTTTTTCACACACAACAATGTCAAATGGTAGGAGGAAATATCAATTTCTGGAAAAATTGCCAATTTCACAATAAACAATCTCATATAATTCATAAATCACTGGCAATGTCAGATTTCAACTTCAAATGTCAATTGGCATTAAGTTGAAATCTGATTGGGAAATGAAGAATTTGAAGTTACCTGGGAAGAAATTCAGTAACAATTGAAAGATTTGGAGGTCGAGTTACAGCTCCCATGAAGAGAACAACATTTGGATGCCTCAATCGTTTCATTATTTTGACCTATTGAAGTTATATCATAAGTTTTCGGGTATTTAATTTATACAATAGATGCTGCCATTCAAAGTAAAAAGTGTTCATTAACTTTATGAAAATCACAGAAAGTTGCTCTAATCAGACACATTGTAAAGTATCAAAATATACATTAGCATAAATAGCCAAACAAAAAATAACAGTAATAGGAAAAAGTACTGTGTTTATCCTGACTTTATCAACATGAACTGTATCATATTAAGTTCTCTCCTTATTAAAGAAAAAAATTCATTAGAGAAAAGAACTAGCTTTCAACAGAGGAGGATAAGATATTCTCGTAAATAACTATTTTTTCCTTTTATATTTAAAGGGATTTTCAGCCATTTATGATGAATTTTAAATTAGATTGATTTGAACAAAATAATTTTAGAAAATTAGAGTGAGAGGGATAATCTGTAAAATTTCATGGGGAATTTTACTTATTTTCTATGTTTTTCTTTATATTTTATGTTAAAAAATAAAGAGAAATTGGAGTTTAAATGGGTTAAAGAATTTAAAAGCATTGAGCATGGACATCTAGACCATACATAAATAAGACTAAAGATACAAGTAGGGTATTTTGATCATTTTCAATCACTTTTGAGAGCATTCATTATTTCTCTAGAGGCTAGGGTATGAGAAAGACAAAAAGGTGGAGGGTCTATAGAGTTTTTTTCTTGATCCGTTCTCCTTAGTTTTACTTCTATTTTCTCTATATCTAGCTTTACCCTTTTTGTTAGGATTTCTCTAATTTTATATTCATGGATCTCTAATTTGGATTATTATGAAATTTGATTTCTTTAACTTCTTGTTTATGTCCCGTACTCCTAACACCCTCAGGACTTCATCATTTATCAACCTTGAGATGGACTTTGATCTTTTTGGTAAATATAAATTTTCTTTGAAACATAAAACTTGTAATGGTTTATGCTAAGATAATCATGGATACTCTCACTATCTTAGGAGAGTTCTACACCCAAAAAATTTTAATTTCACATCAGGAATTATGATTATTAATTATAGATATATGCTTTATTGCCTAAGGAAGGATTTGAATAAATTAGCAAATATGGTAGAAAAATTGGAAATTAAATTGAATTAATACTCATTTTTTCACATCAATCAAAGCAACTGAAAACATAAACCACAAGATCACACTGCAAAAATGAGTAAACAATGCAAAGGAAATACAGCGGGGAAGTAGAGATGGCTCATACTTCAGTTTTGAACTCATCAAGTGATTCGCCAGAAATATCTTGATCTAGAAACCTCTTTACAGCAACTTCCTACGAACCAAAGAGAAATGTGCTGTAAGTGTAAGAATTCTATAATCTACAATGTAACATAAAATTATCCATAACAATACAGATAAAATTAAAATGCGAAGGAAGCTAGCAGTAAATATTGCAAAAAAAAGTATCCTGTTCAGATCAAAATGAAACTACAGCCCAAGAATTTTTGGCATTGGCACACACACATTCAATTCATAAAAAATTACATTTCATAATTTGTAGCACATACACAGGTGCAAGTGCTGCAAGTAATAAGTCTTGACACTGTTGATTTCATTTTGAAAAAAAGGATATAGTAAAATAAAGTTGCATAACATAGGCCTCGCGAAATAACACTATCAATAGATTCATATTCAATAATGTAAGAAACTCACAGTCCCACGCCATTCACCACGATACACCTCCCCATATGATCCTGCATGGCAAACGTGTAAAACCATATAAATAGTACCCACCATCTATGAAAAGAATGTAACCAATTCAAATAGAATCAAGTACAGTTAATACCAAGTCCAATACGCTCACCGAGCGTGATTTCCTCCCGTGGAATGTCAACCTCGGCAACATCAAGATCATCTAATGCCGAATCAGATTTTGTGCTATCATTACTTACTACTGATCTATCAGATCTTCTGTCACCTTCTGAATTTGCTCCTAAAGCTGTATGCTCTCCATCACCACTACCCTTCAGGTCATAACCAGCACTGTCTGTATCTCCATCACTTCGACTGCCCTGTTCATACTGTTTACTGACAGCAGCAGTGGTTGCTACTACAGCTGCAGCAGTAGCAGTAGCAGTAGCAGCTGCTGCTACTGGAAGATCTATGTTTGAGTCAATGCTAGATTTTGCCACGGCAGCAACCATAGATGATGCAACAACAGCCGCAGCGGCTGCTGCAGCAGCAGCGACTGGGACATTTTGCCCATATTTTGCCTGAGTTGGTATATACTGTACCGCTGCTTCCCTTGTATAAAGGGGAAGGTTGATTCCTAAACCTTCTACAGGTTTAGAATGCTCCAACTGGCCACTAGAACTTGCTTTGGTATGGACTCGGTGGTGAGCCAAAGGAGGCAAAATTTGAGCATGACAAACATTACCATCAAGCTCGGCTTCTTTCTGTCTACTTCCCTGCTTATGTTCATCTTTTTCTTCAGTTGAAGAACCTGATTCATCATCATAAATTTCAGAAAATAGATTTGGAGGAGCAACCACACCACTTTCAAGTAAAACGTCATGAAGTTTCTGGGCTAAGTGAGGGTTTTCCTTCGCAGCATCAATCATGTATAGAGAAACGTCTTTGACTTTCATTCTTCGTACTGCAGGAGAATTGATCCCTTCAGTCCAAGAAGGAGATCTTGCAAGTACATGTGGATGATTAGGTCTGCCAGGAGCTTCCTGCTCCTTGATCTTCTTGACATTGTGAGGGCTTTTAAATTCATTCAAGGGTCTCATTGATTCATCCTTTCCCACGGTGGGTTTGCTTGCATCAGATTCTTTACCTGTATGTGAAAAATGTTTTGATCTGTTTTCTTTGTCCAACATCCCCAAATCCAAAGTTTCTTCGTATGAACTTCCAACTCCACTGCTGGATGACGCTACATGCGAGGAATCAAGGTCTCTTGATGAAGGACTGGCCACATATGAAGATTCATCGTACTCTATCTGTGATCCAGTTGCATCAGATGGAATAAGAGTTCCAGGATCTGCCATTAGATCAACAATGTACTCCCTGAAATTCAAATCAAGAACGTGTTAAAATACAGCTTCTATCCTAGGACAATATGACAAAATATTAAAAAACACCATTTCATGTGCTTTCTATCCAATAGAAAATTGATGACAGAAAACAAGTAATACAATTAATATCTGAATGGAAATGCGCAACTAATTATAAACAGAAATTCTGCCTACTTGCCAATATTATAAAAAGTTAATGCAAATTACCTTCCATCATCAATCTTGACAAAGTTCATTGCCATGTCATCCGAACTAGTATATTGCAGCCCCTTCACCAACCGACATGGGATGCCAAAACTATCAGCTAGAACCTACATTTATTATGAATCAATATTTTTTATTGCATACCAGGACTTGTTGGAAACTAAATCAGAGAGTAGAAAAAGCTGACAAACATAAAGACTCTGTTACAATTATGTGCTTGATCCATATACACAACCCCAGCCAACAGAAAAAAGCTTTTGTTGTTATAAGATAAATGCATAGTAAAGTTTTGAAGTACTAAGAAGTAAGAGAATACAACAAAAATATCAGAATTTGTGTAGTTCACCCGAAATTGATATTTCTCTTGAATCTTGACATATTCTAACAATTTTTTTGGTGTAAACCTAACAACAAGTTTTCATTAGAGCCTTCTATCAACTAATTCGTGGAATCATTCCTAACTGAAATTCAAACCACAAAAGAAAAAAATGTGGGATAAATACCTTAAATAACAATGCACGATGCCGAGCCAATCCAATAGTTAGAGAACCAAGTGGCAAAAACATGCTACCAAGGGTTGCTTTTAGACTGTAACTGAGACTCCTCCATGCTCTTGTCATACTTTCAGGATCTCCAACTTGTCCACCCATATAGTCGGCCACAAATATTGCAAGCTTGCGGACCAAATTGCTATCTATAACTTCAAAATCTGAACTTGATTTGCCAGTCAACTCCTGGGCCTTTTGCACAAGTTTCAACAAATTAGAATCAGCAGCCCTATTGACCAAGACAGCTTCCCACGTACCACTACCTGAGATTGATGTTGCTTGCAGTTGCAAATCTAGAAGGGAAGGCATTCTAGTGGGGTTTGACTCAGTTAAGCTCCCATACAGATCGTAGAAACCATCTAAGATCTTGTCATCATAACCAAGAGCATTGTAATTCTGTGAAGCACGGATAAATCTACGATATGAGATAAGTTAGAAAGGACTATAAGTAGGACAAATAAGGACAACTAACCAGATCACATAGGAGTAAGTCCATTTTATACGAAATCTGTTTAGTGCATGCATCATCCAAACAATCTCTAGTAATCTAAGTAAATAGTAAACCGTCTAAAATACAGAACCAAAAACTTCATTTGAAGCCTAAAATAGAAAAGCAAAAGTAAAAAAGATCCGCAATTATCCTAATAAAGGGAAAAACCATGACTCCAAGTCTATAACCGAAGATCTCATAAAAAGGTTACAATAACAATTCAATAATAATTCCAAAAGCATATGCTTTATGGAAACCAGCCCAGTAAGGTATACCAGCCTAGCAACATTCTATACTGACATTTTGTATGATTAAAAGATTAGACACTAAACAATTTAGGAGGCATTTGAACTAGAAAAGGCTTACATACAAGTTATGTGAATAAGAATTAATATTATTTTTCTGATTACTGTGTCATGTCATGAACCAATTTTCTTAAAAGCTTAAGTTATTAGGTGAAGACGCAAAATGGTTTCTTACATATCTACTGCAGCCCCTCACCCAAACCCTTTGGCTTGCTGCATCGGTAATGCACAGCCCACCTACATTTTGCTGAAATTCATCATTTTGGAGCGGCAAATCAAACTCTAGAAAAATATAAGCTGGGATACTATGACAGGACCCAAATATCCCGAAATCTTAAGTTGCTAGGTGAAGACCCGTAAATGGTTTATAAAATTTATAACATTAATGTCCCATCATTTTGTCAGAGTGATTTCAGAATCTTAAGAGAAATAAGTTTTTCCTTGATTCAAGGACCAAAGAGCTTAAACTTTTCCATTCAAAGACAGAAACATATATAGATATCAGTATTTAAACATAACCTTAACTCTAAAGTCAACGAAATTTTCCCTCATCTAACATCAAGAATCCAATCAATATTATATTCTAAACTATCATTAATACCCAGGATGTACACCAGATTAGTCCAAACTGCAAGGATGCCATGCATCTTGCCTTGACTTCAACATCACTTTTCAAGAAATATATCTGATGCCGAGTGATATTGAAATTTCCACCCCAAAAGCATAGTTCAGAATGCTCCTAATATATCTAACAATGTCCAAATTCTACCAACTATCCCGATTTGCTATCCCTGTCATTTCACAAGGGTAAGAAAGGTCAAAGGAAAAACCCACATGAATGAGCGCAATCACATGGTGATATAAATACAATCCCATATCCTTCCTTCCATTTTTCTTTTCTTTTCTCTTCATCTTCATGCTAAGATCTATTCCCGATGCCAATGAAGAATAAAGTACCAGTCTACACATCTGAAATTCTTTTTAAAATTCTAGAAGCCTCGTATTCCTCTAAGAATGACCTGATTATCAAACTTATGACTTCCAATGTCTTTTCTTCCAGCAGCACCATGAAAACAAGAAGAATGTGAATAAAGTGACTTACCCAATATCGGTAGGCCACAACTTCAGCTGGTGTATATCCAGGGTCACAAGATCCCAAACTGATCTGCTTAACAGCTTCAATTTGCACAGCCTCAGGATCCTCCTTTGCACTCAGCTCTAAAGCCAGCTGTATCTGATACTCTTCCTCCACTTCAGGATCCCTCGAAGCACTAGACCCTGAATCAAGCCTAGCTGAATCTGACACAACATCCAAACCACCACTGCTCACTGCATCAGATGGCTCCATTCTCTCTCCCCTTGGCTGGCTCAAAGATGGAGCAGGACTAGGACTCTGCCTGTTGGCAACTGAGTGCAACCAACTGTAGAGCCCAGATAAGGGCTTTTGCTCAGAACTTTGAGCGGACTTTGAGCGCAAAACCTTCTTGGTAGATGAAGATGAACCGAGATTGGACTTGCTTCCCTTGGATGAAGAAGACCCCTGTTCATTCTCTGATCGGTTAGACATAATATGAAGCTTCTTAAGAAGGTTCTTCATATCTTTCCACTGAGCAGCAGCACTGACTGCTAGAGAAGTGGAAACACCTCCATAATGATCTTGGACTAAGCATGAAATCTAAATCACTTTCTCATAGAAGAATACCATTTAAAAAACAACTTCTTTTTTTTGTTTGGCCCTTAAAACCCAAAAATACCAAAACAATCAAGTTTCAATCAAACAATAGTACCCTTTTTCAACCCTTGCCCAATCAAGGCGATCCAGATGCCTTGGAGTGAAATGGAGCAGTTTCCTTTACCCCAGACATCAACAGATAGACACTGTTAAGAGACTAACACGGAAAATACACCAACTGAAACAAACATGTGCAGACACAACTACACCAACTTCAGATGTTCTGTAATACTACTCCACATCATCATCGTCATCATATCAACTTTAGGTACAGAAAGAGCAAAAAAAACGTGAAGCACTCAGCACCCCGGATTGAGAAAGAAGGATCTTTCTAAGCGGAGCACAAAAATAGGAGCGTGGGGAGTGCTGAAGAGAACAATTGAGGGTAAATTGCAAATAAAGTACAGAGAGAGAGAGAGAGAGAGAGAGAGAGAACAAGTGGAAGAAGTAGTAGGGGGCCACAAAGGATGACCCACTTGAGTAGAGGGGCAGAAGGATTTCAAGGACCCAGAAAAAGGTAAACTTGGTGGGAAACACAACAACCAATGAAACACAACACCCCACTTGTTGGCTCTTTCTTTCTTCCTTTCTTCTTACCCTCTACTCTCCAAAATCAAAATGGTGATGCCAAGTGTTTGAACAGAACTTCAGTTTGTGTTAAACTTTTCACTGATGGGATAAACAGGTCAGAGGATTAGTTAATAAAAATCCACTTGAATTTTTGGATTGATATCATTTCTTAGAAAGATGTGAATTCAAAACCGTTTTTTGACCAAGGAATCTTGCTATTACACAATATGTAAAAAGATTAAGTTTTTGTACACATCCCTAATTAATTTTTATGACCCAATTCACTTGAATTTTTTATTTGATTAATTTAACTATAAAAATATTTTACATTATTATTTAAGCACGTATTATTATATAATGAAATTATTATTTTTTTAATAAGTAGGTAAAAGCTATTTAAGATTATTTTAATGATTCTTCAAACATAAAATATAATTTTAACACTTCAAATTGAAAAATATGATTTTAGATCTTCAAAATTATTCTTTAGAAACTAAAAAAATAACTTAATCTCTCATATTTAGTATTTAGGACTAAAATTTATGTTTAAATTTAATAAACTAAAATGAATTTTTAGGAAATTGAAAGAACAAACTAAAATCACCTAAAAAATTAGATGATAAAAACATAACTAAATCATGAAAAAAATTACACCAAACATGAAAATTAAACTGAAAAACAAAAGGTTAACTTCCCCACATGTATGAATATATTTACATTGTAAATTATTAAAAAAAACACCTCAATTATATTTGTTAGAAGTGATTAAAAGTCAAAAAATGTATTATATATTATGAAGAAAATGTAGAATTTTTAATTGAAAGAAAAAGATCCCTTTTAAGTTGCAAGCCCTTTGGTTATTTGAAGCAACCCAATTTTTTTGTCCTTAGTGAAGAAAAAGACAAATGGTTTTGAAGTGGAAGTGGCAAAAACTCACTTTCATACTCAATCTTCCAACCTTGCCTGAGTACTTTCTCACTCATCATTCACCATTCACCATTCTTCAACGATAATAATGATAATATTAATATTAATTCCCACTTTGTTAACCACTACCCATATTTCACGGTGCATACCATATTCAACTCATTTCAACCCTACTCCATTTGGCTAACTAAATCATTTTCTCTATTTCCCATTTTTAGGGTTGCTCACTTGAAAAAGTAATGTGTCTTTCACCAAAACTTACCTTTTAGTGTAAAATTCATTAAAAAAAAACAATAAACTTAAATATGTCTCAATGATGAATTTTTCTTTTAAATAGCCAATATTTTTGTAAAACAATTAAGATCTAATAGATAAAAATGATGATTTGAGTTTCTATTTTTTTTTAAATATTTACTTTATTTAAATCTTTTACATTTTTTCTTATTTCCGATATTGTTCTAATAATTAAAACTACGTACCCATTTAAAATCGCAAGCTTGAATTTCGTACATGGCTGAAAATTTTCAATTATTAAGAAAGAATTGTTATACAGATTAATTTATTTCTTTAATAAGAAAAACTTCACTTTTGTTTAGATGAATAAAGTTTCAGTATATTAGTCAGTATATAAAGGTTTTATTCTTTTACCAAACAGATAGATAAATCTCTAAAGTTGAACCAGAATCCTAACTCACAACTAAATATATTTTATCATAAGAATTGGATAAACTAAAATAAAAATACGAATTTGCAGTAAAAAAATTATAGATAAATACTAATTCTAGAAACAAGTATAATATTAATTTATTTTTAAATATTCTTTCTTGGTATCCTAAATCCTTTGGCAAAGAAGAAAGGAATAAGATGAACCTGCAGCAAAGGGCAACAAAAAGTGCATTAATTTATTGAGAAAGAAAAAAAAATTGTGAAGGAGATTGAAAGAAAAAGTCATAGGGTAGATGCAAGCTCTTTATTTTCATATTAAATAATAAGTGTTGATTTTTTTTTTTTAATGTTGACCATTTGTTCCATTAGCCATGGCATGGCATGTCTTCATCTTCCAAGGCTTTACTCACGAAGGAAAATGACTTGTTCTAATCCTTACCACAAACTTTTATTATAAATAAAAATGATAGGGACCCAACAAACACCTTTTTCTAGGGTTTACTTGTTCTACATCACTCAAAATGATTACCTCCAACCTCAAATTCTTAACCCTACACCACAACTTAATCTTACTTTGGGACCATGCATTATCCTTTTTATCTAAAAATCATGGTGACATAGGAGAAGTAGTTGATCAAGAAAACACCAATACATGTAAAGGTGTGTTCTTTTTCTCTTAGGGTTCCCTAAATATTAGGGTTTATGAGAAAGCCTCTCATCTTCTTAAACTATTTATTTTATCAAAATAATAACATAAAAAATACTTTTTAAGGAAGGTATTATTTTTCTTTCCCTTATCCTTTGAATCCAATCAACAATTTAGTGAGTTTGGAAAGTCAACCCAAGCAACATGCACACATTTACTCTTTCAATATTTCAAGCAATCTAAAATAATACAACTATACTCCCATTTTTTAGGTTGCTTTTTCTTGCATGGGTTTTCATTCTTCAAATAATTAAATCCTTTCCTTTTTTTTTTTCAAATTTCCTTTCTAATTTCAGCAGAAGTAACAGGTTGAACGAATTTTTCCTTTTAAGTAAAGATTCTTGTCATTAACAATCCAATGTAATTTGCGGATTTAGATTATTTGTTGTCCTCCAATACACATTTCGTGACCATTCATCCAAACATTGCATAATGAAGAGAAATGAGAAATTGGGTTCACATCACAAACTTTCACTTTGAAATATTCAACTATATATATCTATGCATATCTACATGTCATATTTATCTTAAAAGAATATATATATATATATATATATATATATATATTTCATTTTGAAAAATATGTGTATTTTTATCAAGAATAATTGTTGTTGATGAATTTAAGATAAAAAAAATTAAAATATCCAATGTTGTAATTCGTTGGATTAGTTTATTAAACACGTTACTAATGTATATAAACTTATATTAAAGACAGTATTTTTAATATATTTATTTTAATATATATATATATATATATTTACTGTAGAAAAATACTTTTGATAGTTATAAATGTAATAAGTAATAATAATATTAAAGTTAAGTATGTATGTTTTTATAAAGTTAGAATAGTTTTTGTTTAATTGAGTATTTTTTTTAAATTAGATATTTTTTTATTGTGTCAAGATATATTTTTGCTTGATGGGTCTTTGAATTAACTTTTGATGTAAAATATTTGTGATATTAAAATTAAATAAGATATATAAATATGATAAAGGCAGATTTAGGAAGTGGAATAGAAAATAAAGATACAAATTATCCTATTTTGCTATTTTTATCAAAAGATACGAAATATTTCATGAAGGTAGATTTAGGAAGTGGAATAGAAAATAAATGAAAAATATCACTAAATTAAATTTGAAATGATTTTATAAATTATTTAATTAAAAAACATAAAAAATAAGTTTTTCTGTTTATTTTGAAAAGTAAAAGGGGAATGAATATCCATAATTTTTATATTTTGCTTGTTAACATAATGAATGGTCCATAATTTGGAACTAGTTTTCAAATCCTATTAAAAAAAAACAAACAATTGAGTCAGAATTCAATCAATCACGTGCTTTATTATTTTATAAATATCAAAGACTTTTCCAATCGTGAGATAGACTCCATCCCAATTTTTTGTTTCTTCAATCTGTAACTCAACTTCTTTTATTTTAGTTTTTTTGAGGTTGATTCTACAAATTCTGAATTACTTGTTACACCAAACTGCTTATAAAATTCCTTAATAACTTATTATTTTCGTGATAGTTGACTTTTGGCATGCACCATTAAATGCAAAGAAAGTTCATCTTATTCTTCCCATAATAAGCATAAGAGAATCATCTTAAGTTCAATCATATTGAAAGGTTAAGAGCAACATATGTGAGTTAAATATTACATTTAAGATCAATCTTAATCATTAAAGATATTATAATAAAAATAACCCTATATTATATAAAAATGAAAAGTTATTTAAACCTAATACTATAATAAGAAACGAAGTGGTGGACCAGAATACTAAAATAAAATAAAGTAATCGAGATACCATATCATAGAGTGATATGTGATCTGAAATATAATAAATGTGTTTAGTATTTTCTTTTTTATGGTGAAGGAGATACTTACTGAGTGGCTTTCTCATTGCCTTTTTTATTTACTTTTACCTATACGAACCCTCAATCAAAAGATAACATGAGTTCATAGAATTTGAAGATTTTTAGATTTTTTATCATTGAAAGCTCCCTTTCTTCTCATGGAAAAGGGATTTTTTCCCATCTGCATCACCAGACAAAATGCAGCCACCGATAAACTTCTGCAGTTCTCCAACAAACTTAACCCAATGTTATTTTATTGAGCCAGACATAATTGTAGATGTTTAAGCTTTTAATATCATGACCTGCATGGTGTCTTGTTCTTTTAAAAATTCAAAAAATGGTAACCTGTCTGTGATGTCACAATGATGATTTTTTCTTGACCTCTGAAACAACCACTCCAATGGCAATTTCAGTTATGTTTACAAATGTCAAGTGAGTATACACGTACCAAGGCCTCAGCTAAGACTCTAGTACTTGCTTCCAATCACATTTTTCTCTGGTTCTATCCTCAAAAGTTAACTCAAAATTAATATTTCATATGATGAAAGTATCTCATATAATTGATACGTTAAGCAATTTAGCTACTCAATCTAACACGAAAATAAGAACCTTCCTCTGACTCTATCCAAATAATGTAAATTTGATAGTTCCCTGGTTGACTTCAAATCCCTTATGCCTTTCTTTGATAATGCAGAGACCAAGGTGGAATAACTTGGTAAGTCATCATCTGTTTCTCTCAGAAAACATGATATTGCAAAATCGATTAATACAAAAAACAAAAAAGGGAACCTTATCTTCAATTCAACTTCTACTAAACTTTGACATTTATGATTTGGTGCTACAAAAGACAGGGAGAGAGAAGGAGAACAGTAAAGTTAGCTCAATCTTAATATATATTAACCTAATAATAGTTAAGGGAAAAAAAAGGACAAACTTTGGGGAAAATACTCACTCTACAAACAAAGCAAATTTGAAGGGTTAAACAAGAACACCATTTTAAAATTGAAAGAACTTCTGTTACTCATCTGACAAGCTTAATTAAAACTTAGAAAAGACAACAATCTAAGATATTTTTATTGTCACTATATTCATATAACTTCATCATAATTGTCCATAATAATGCAAATTTATTCATACAATAATTTCTAATTTAATAGGATTTAATTTCTTATCAAAATATACACTACAACTTACTATAGTAATAAATTTACATGGACCGTCAATAATCTAAGTATGAGTTAAGTCTTACGTTGAGTAAGAATGAAAAAGTTGACCAACATATCAGAAAGTATGACTCATAACTCAATGTTTTAAGGTTTTAGATTAAGAGTGTTGTCAATAACTTACATTATAAGAAATAATAGATTTATGATGGACAAAATTTGTTGATAACAATAAAAATCCATTTTACTGACGGAAAAGAATTTGTTGGAAATTTTATTGTCGGTAAATATTACCGACGAATTTGAAAAGTTCGTCAGCAATTACCAACAAACATATCCATCAGAAAGTGTTGTAGATAATAAACGACAGATATATTTATTGGAAAATGTTATAGGTAATTACCGACAAATATCCATCGATAATGTCCGTCGGTAACTAATTATTAATTTACTGACGAATATATTTGTTGATAACTAATTGTTAATTTAGCGACGAATATCCATCGGTAACTAATTGTTAATTTAGTGACGAATATTCATTGGTGATTAATTGTTTATTTACTCATGGATATATCCGTCGGTAAAACCAAATTCTACGAACATTTTATATTCGTCGATGATGTCCGTCAATAATCACTCATTTTCTGACGACTACATATCCGTCGGTAACTAATTGTTAATTTATCGACGGATATACCTGTCAGTAATTAATTATTCATTTACTGATGAATATATCCGTTGGTAAGATCGAATTTCACAAATACTTTAAATCCGTCGGTAATCACTCATTTTCGATGATTACATATCCGTCGGTAATTAATGATTTTCTTGTAGTATTATATAGGTTGAGTTCTTATCTCATTGTTGTGTTTTTCCCCTGTAAATCCCTCCTCAAAAGGTAAGTGTGTTATGTTACGTTAAACGAACCATTAGTGAGCTCAAGGTAAACGTGTACCAATACAGAGGAATTCACACTTGAAGGGAGATTGTTGGATAATCCAAATGTGATCCTAAGTCTTACATTGTATAAGAATAAGAAAGTTGAATAACATATAATGAAGTATGACCGATAACTTAATGTCTTAAGGTTTTGGGTTGACTCATTGGTGTTGTCTTCTCCCCTATGAATCCCCTTCAAAAATAACGGGACGAATTGATGATTTTAGCTCGTCAATTCATGTTGGCCCACTCCATCTAGTCTGTCAATTCGACAGGCTAAAAAGGGAACGAGATAGACTAACCTAGTGACTAAATGTAAAAAAAATATTTATATATTAAAACTAAAATAAAAAATATTATAATTAAAAATATTATATTTTTTGTATTATACTATTAAAATATATAAATATATTATAATATTATAATTTAAATTATAAAAATTAATTAAATTATAATTATAATTAGTTATTTTATAAAAAATATAATATTTTTTAATTTATCTAATAAAATATTGATTAATAAATAAATTTTTAAAAATTATTTATATAATTAAAAATATATTTTTTAAAAAATTCATATAAAAAAATTTATATAAAAAAAATATTGACAAATTAACTTACTCATTGGCCAACTCACCCTATAACGAGACGGACTAGAGTCTATGGCTCATCCTAACAAGTGTGACTTTTTTTCATAAATAATACTGTTTTCAAAAATATTTACCCAAATAGCACCTCTGCAACTTTATTTACACAACTAGCACTTGTTATCTGTTTATTTAATAAAATAATATTATTTCGCGCAACTGTTCACTGTTCATTTAATAAAATAACATTATTTCGCGTACTGAACTCTCGCTCAAGCGAAGAAAACCTTCGCTGAGCGAGGAAACCTGTAACAAAGGGGTAGTGCAGGGTAAATTCTCGCTCAAGCGAAGGTTTTATCGCTTGAGCGAAAAGTATTATCGACTATTATCCCATTATAGTCGATCACTTTGACATATATGACTTTAGATAGCGGTTATTTGACCAACCGCTATCTAAACTACTACATTAGATAGCGGTTATTTGCCCAACCGCTATCTAATATAGTAGTTTAGATAGCGGTTGACCAAATAACCGCTATCTAAAGTGACTCAAGCGAAAATCACACCGCTTGAGCGAGGACACCTGGAAACAAGGGGGACTCTCGTTATATCTGAAATGGGAGAGCTACAGATAGAAACTGAAGTACATTCCTTTTATTGATGTATGAAAATTGTAATGTTTATATACAGTAGAAATAACAAATAACAGAGTAGAACAGAGAACGTGAACAAAACAGAAAAAAAACTAAAAGAAACCCATGCACGTAATGCATGCCCCATGCACATAATACCCATACACGTAACTACCCATCATGCATTTTGACTTAAATCTCAACATGCCTACTTAAGTCAAAACTGAACAATTCTCAGACACTCTCTGAGTTTACAAAATCTAGCAGCCTTCAAAAGCTTTGTAAAGATATCTGCACTCCAAATATCCTCCTCCAAATAGCCATTTAAGAAGGCAGATTTTACGTCTAGTTGGTGGAAAGACCAACCCTCCAACCATGTTTATATCAGTTAAAACATTTTACAAACATTTTCTGAGAGTGATTCAATCGATTGATTCGCGTTTTAATCGATTGATTTACTTTAAAACTTTCTTATAAAACTTTTCAAGTTATTTTAATTGATACAAAGAAGTTTTAATCGATTAAAAAACTGCACAGAATTTTTCTAAGTTGTTTTAATCGGTTGAAACGCGTTTTAATCGATTGAAACTCTGTACAAAGTTTTTCCAAGTTATTTTAATCGATTGAAATGCGTTTTAATCGATTGAAATAGGTCTGATCGGTCATAATTCAATTCTGATCGATCATAACCACCTCTGATCGGTCATAATTTCATTCTGATCGATCATCCTGACTTCCAAAGTGGTTTTAATCGATTAAAAGAAGTTTGTATCGATTAAAATACTGTAAAAACACTTCTTTAAACATTCTAAGTGATTTTAATCGTTTCTTTTAAAACTATATCAGTTAAAAACATTATTAAGAAAGTTCTTTGTCAAAATGCTTTTGTTTTTGATTTGTTTAAAACTATTTTTGAGGCATTTTGCAAAATGATGAAAAACTTTGTACAAACTTTTTCGAAGTTGTATTAATCGGTTGAAACGCGTTTTAATCGATTGAAGCTCTGTACAAAATTTTTCCAAGTTATTTTAATCGATTGAAATACGTTATAATCGATTGAAACAGATTTCAATCACTTTGTCGCTCGAGCGAAAGTTGGCGTCGCTCGAGCGAAATAGAACCCGAGAGTCCCCCTTGTTTCCAGGTGTCCTCGCTCAAGCGGTGTGATTTTCGCTTGAGTCACTTTAGATAGCGGTTATTTGGCCAACCGCTATCTAAACTTCTATATTAGATAGCGGTTGGGCAAATAACCGCTATCTAATGTAGTAGTTTAGATAGCGGTTGGCCAAATAACCGCTATCTAAAGTCATATATGTCAAAGTGATCGACTATAATGGGATAATAGTCGATCATACTTTTCGCTCAAGCGAGAAAACCTTCGCTTGAGCGAGTATTTACCCCAGACTACCCCTTTGTTACAGGTTTCCTCGCTCAAGCGAAGGTTTTCTTCGCTTGAGCGAGAGTTCAGTACGCGAAATAATATTATTTTAATACAGTGAACAGTGAACAGTTGCGCAAAATAATATTATTTTATTAAGTGAACAGTAAACGGTGCTAGTTGTGTAAATAAAGTTGCAGAGGTGCTATTTGGGTAAATATTTTTGAAAACAGTATTATTTATGAAAAAAAGTCAACAAGTGTTGGTCAGCTAGCCCGCAAAATAAGAAATGATCCGCTAATATCAAATAATAGATTCAAAACAGAAAGAAATTGACTTATTCAAACTGAAACAAATTTGAAAGCTTCCTAAAAGTATGCAACTCCAAAGACACGTTTTCAACAGTGATGTTCAACTATCAACAAGAAAAAAATAAAAAATACTGGCTCGTGGTCACCAAAATTCAATGTCTAACTAACTAAAAGAAGTAAGAAAACTATCCTTACAATAGGCCTCTAGCTAGCATTTCTTCAAGATATTTCGCAGCCTTATCGTTCTCATCCTTTTCAAAGAAAGCATTAAAACAAAATATTTTGAGGATGTTTCTATCATTTGTTTAAAAATACCATTTAGCTTGCTATAAGTTTTATGACATGTATTCTTTCACCTGACAGCTGCATTTGGTGGAACTAACGAAAAAGTTAGCTCTCCCACATTGCATTAATAATGCAATTCCTCAAAGCTTAGTTTATAAGTTTTCTACCAGCAAACTCGTCCATATAATCATATTGGGCAAGCACAGGAATACACAACCTCGTGATGTAATTTTTCAAATATCCTGTAGCTATGTTGTCGTAGCTGCAGTCTAATCTTTTTTATGCATTTTAGTGCTATGTTATGGTGTACTGATGTAGGGATTAAGTCTTGGTCATTAGGGAATAGTGGTGTTTTGTGGCCATATATATTATGATTTGAAATTTAATTGACTGAATCATATCACACTTAAGAATTATCTTCTTTTCTTTACTTTCATCGTAACTCATGAACTTTAGTTACTTGTTGGGTTTCTATCTGCATTCTGCAGTGCAAACACTTTGCCATAATGCTGTCAATAGTTTAAGATTCTCTCTATCATCTATTATGGTAACAGTTTCAACAATGCTCATATTTCCATGGCTTTTTCAAATTTTTTGTCTTCAACAATTCTCTGGTTCCTGTTTGTTGTCTCACATGATATAAATCAAGAACTCATCGTAATAGTTAGAACATTAGGATTAACAAAGGAAGATGAGTAAAATCCATTGTAATGATATCATTGATTTCAACCCCTCTACCAATGGTTCAACAAATTCTATAATAAAAATGTAATTTCATAGGGAATGAAAGGGCTATAGCAATCAAATTACAGAAAAGAAATTAAAAATGATCACCTCTTCATATCCCATATGGAACGATGGAAGCATAGTTAACAAAGCCAGGCATGTACACTCTACTGCAACATTATTGTAATTTGACATATAAATAAGATGTCACCTTCAATCATTTCAAGAAGCCTCTAGTGATCATTTCACGAAGAAATTTTCTGCTTTCAATCTCATCCTTTTCAAAGAGAGCACGTGTGATTATTTTGAAAGTTACAACACTAGACATGCAACCATTGTCTTCCATTTGGGACCACAAGGCCAATGCCTCATCAATTAAACCCTCCTTACAAAATCCATGGATCATAACATTATACGTGCGCACGTCAAGATGACTGTCTTTAATGAAAAGATCTTGAAAAAGTTCTTGCATGTTTAAATCTTCCCCTTTACACATTCCATCAATAAGTACATTATAAATAGACATATCTGGTTGAATTCCCTTCTCTATCATTTTATTGAATAATTTTAACTGCTCTGTCCAGATGATGGCTTTTGCATAAAGCATCTATCAAAGAATGGTAAGTGATTATTACATCTGGATGATGACTTTTATCATGCATCTCATCAATAGGATCACAAACCTACGAAATTCTCTCAGATTTGCATAAATTGTAAGTCACATATTTATCCTATGCATTTTCTCAAATAAATTCATGGCCTCATCCATCCTTTTATTCTTAGATGATTCATTAATCATAATATTGTACATGTAAACATCAGGACTTATTCCCATTTGTATTACAGCATTGAATTCATGTTCTGCATTCTTCACTTTATTAACTAATATATAACCAAGATATAACCATTAAGTAAAGTATTAAATGTCACAATATTAGGTTTCACACCTCTTTTCATCATCACACCCAACACATTTTTAGCTTTTTTTTCATCCTTCCTTCTTTACATAAAGATCAATCAGTGTATTATAGGTATAAATATGAGGATGAATTCCCTTTGCAATCATCTCGAAATACAAATCATGAGCTTCATTTGCAAGGTTATATTTGAATAGATAGCGAGAATTGTAGTGTACATTACCACATTTGCCTTCGTTGATCGGTCTTCATTATTCTTAGACTCGGGATGTCAGTTTTGCTTTCTACTAATTTGCTCTTAGGGTTTTCAAATTTTCTGACCAACTGAATTGCAGCTCTGATTTCTCGATTTCTCCAACTTTGCACAAACCATTTATCAAAAGTACCGTAAGCAAATTACTCGAACCGACTTCCTGTTGCTACCTTGTTGAGTAAATTGAGTGTTTTTTTTACCTCACCCCAGACCTCTGATGAGGGTACAGAAGACTATGCCCTAGTTTGAGTATCTTGGCGAATGCAGAGAAAGCGGAGGTCATTTGATCCATGTGGCAGAAACGAAACAATTGATGAGGATGCTTAAGGAAATACGGTCATGGTGAATTCCCTTAACCTCTATTTGCTTAAAAAAGAAACAACAATTCGATAGTGCTTCATCTCCACAAGAGATCCCAAAATCTTGTCAAATTCGATGATGGAAGGAACACGGCGCATATGAAACATGCGATTGAATCGGGAGACAGCGTCGTGAACATGGTGATCCTCAAGTAATGGGTACTGAGAGTGAGAGTAAAAGGAAAAGAGGAAGTACGGTTTGAAAGAAAGGAGGAAAACTGAGCATATAGGAGAAAGAGAAAACCTTAACCTTGACAGCGACATTGAATTCTTTGCAGCAAATGGATTGTGTGTGGATTGATTTGGTTTTCAAAGCGGAAATAAATTCATCCCACTGGATCTTGGAACGAACTTAAAATTCATAATATCAAATCATAAGTTTAAATATTAATTATCTATTTAACATGATATAGTAAAAATAATTTTTCAAAATATTAGTAAAAAAAAAAACTACATAAAGTAAATAAAAACTATTCAAATTAAGATTATTCACAGTTTTATGCTTTAAAATATATTTTAAATTCTTCTTAAAATATCATGTATTCTGAATAAAAAGTATATTCTTAAGATGTTCAATCTGAAATATTGAATTTTTTTTCAGAATTTTTATTCCAATTTATTTTTTCTTGAATGTTTCTAAAATTTGCAATCCAAAAGTTTTTAATACAATGATTTTTTATAATATATTCGAGAAAGTATTTTTTATAATGTATAAAGATTTTAAAAGTTTTTATCATAGAAAAAAGAATTAATAGCGAATGAAGGATGCAATTGAGTCGAATGGGTGGACCTGATAATGTTTTGTTTTTGCAGTGTGTAGTGTCTTAACTATGTTTGGACAAAAACAGAGGACTAAATAAAAACGACCAATCTGTTTATTTTTATGGGAGAATTTTATAAATATTATGTTTAATTATGATAGTTTACCATGTTACTAGGTTTTTCTATCTTTAGTAGATTTCGAGTGATAAAATCATAGTAAATTTCAGTATCAGAGACATGTATTAAATATGCAAATATCTTACATAAGTAAAATATGAAAAATAAAAAATAAAAACATTTTTCCCTGTTGGGACTGAAAACCTAACAACACAACTTCTAACATAAAACCAAAGGCATGTTTTGGATTGGACAATTTACTGTATGCAGCTTTCTATCAATGTACTTACCATAAATACTTCTTCATTTTAAAACTATTGTCGTTTAAAATTAGTAATATGCATAGATTAAAAGGCATTTAATAAATATAAAAGATAACTATAAGTAGTCTGAAATAAGTTTATTTATGATGTCAACAATATTTAAACTTATAATAAATGAAAAATGGACAAAGTAGCTGCTAATATAAAAAGCTACCAAAGTCTAACAAATAACACTTGAATAACAAAAATCATGATGAGTACACTAATAATCTAAACATTACTTCAGGGGTCAATCTAGACCGGTGCACAACAACAAACTAAATGAGCAATCCATTCACTCAAGAAAATTCACTTCTGCTACTGCCTACTCGCTTTACAAATCTGTTACCCTCATGTGCCTCGTTAAAACACTTGTTCAGATTGTTCATAACCAAATTCAAGACCATAAAATATACTTCCTACTTTCATAATCAAATTGAGGACCTTGTAATTCTCCTAGCCTAGGGCCCTGATTCCTAAGGATGAAACTGTTGGTGGTGCGATGGTGGTGCCTGGAATAGCTGGTGCTGCTGTGGTGGCTGCTGGAACGGCAGCTGTGGCTGCTGCTGATGGAATGGCTGCTGCAGCTGAAATGAGGGAAATGGTTGCTGAAATAGCTGTGGCTGCGGTTGCAGTGGTGGTGGTGCCAGGTGTTGCTGTGGTGACTGCTGCTGTGGTGGTGGAGGTTGTTGCTGTGGTAGCTGCACTGGTGCCTGTGGCGGTGACAGCTCCTGTTGCTGTGGAATTGTATCATCCCTTAGTGGTGCATTGAGGTCCATAGTTCCCAGCTCTTCCAACTCTTGAATAGCTGCAATTGCAGTGACTGGACTTTGATGGTTAAAATGAGGCTTAATCACTGCCAGAGATTCCTTCACTTTCGATTGCTACAAATTAATGAATATAGGTTCAAATATAACAAATTCAAAAAATACGATGAATAATTGACAATGCAAACCAAAGACAACTTCAACTCACAAAGTGTTCAAGCTTCCTCTTGAGCTCTTCATTAGCAGCATTTTGTGAAGGTCCAGCAAAAGTTGACCCCTGTCCCACCAAAAAACATAAGAACAGCGTAAATAAATATGGAAGAAAAAAAGAGAGGATAAAGTATACGCTTTGATTCTTATACACAACAGTTGTGTATAGGACAAATTTGGCAATGATCGTTACTTGTATAGAGAGAGATAATATTATAATATATGCAAACTAAAAATAGTAGGAAATCTATCACTAATAATAAAGAAAGCCAAACAAGTTAACTGGAAACACAACAGTAACATAATTAGTATACAGGGAACATAAAAGAAAGCTATATATCGAACAAAACTTGACATAATACACGAACATATTTTCCTACAATTCATAAAGTTCTTTTTTCTATAAAACATAAGGAGCAAAACAGAAGAAGTCCGGCATCTAAAAATAATGAAGTAATGCAAACTTTTAAATCTAATCACAATAATAAACTCGTAAACTATATACTGCATAGCTGTGAAGAAAAACAATCATAAACATGCAAAAAATCAGATATAAAATTTATATATACCTTTTTATAATCCATAAAATTCTATTAATATTTTTTTACGCATAATTCACTCATTAAATTCTACATGTCAAATTAATCCTACACAAATTAGGTGATTGCTTTAATATATTCATTACATAAATATTAAAATAAAAGAGTACAATAGAGAACTTATACATTGAAATTCAAAAAATCCACAAATACTCTTTTTCAGATACTCATTATGCATGCAATAGTATTCTATCAATCCTTCGAAAAGGAAATCTCTGCGTTCCCACAGATATTACAACAAACGTCCCAATTTCTAAAGTGCATAATTCACTCAAGTTAAGTTCCACATGTAGAAATAGGTCAACAAAATAGTCATGCAGTCTAAAAATAAAACTCATATTTTCAACAGAAAATTACTAAAAAATACTTTCAGTAATAACTTAGCAACACTTCAAGCCAAAGATACCACCAAAAGTGAAATAAAACCATTTCCTTCGGAAAAAAACTGACACATATGGTCCACATTGCAGTAAGCAAATATTACAACAAACAGATGGTCCAAAAAGTGTTAGAAAAAAAGAAATAAATAGCACAAAATATTTCCAATACGTTATAACCCAGTATATTTTACAAAGCACTATAATTGGTTTCGAGGTAAAAATCCTGTAAATATAAAAGGAAAAGAAATTATATTTGCACTCATTCTAGTTCAGATTTTAAGTATATATGTACCAAAGATTTTCTGGCATCCATGAACAATCGAAAAGAATGCCAAAAATTTTACTTCCAATAAGATTTGCAAAGAAAACCAAATCCCATAAATCATGTCTTTCAGAAAGAAAAAAAAAAAAAAAAACATAACAATATTTTGACATAAAACTTGTACAATCTATAAAATTTCTTCGCCAGACATTCGTGTCAAATTATGCATTATCACGATAGCCCACAATATAGACACAAACAAAAAGAGTAGTAATCACTAAAAATATTCTTATTTTCTAAGTACATAATTCATTCATTTTGACTTCCACATGCCAAGATATTATCAAAAATAAATTTACAGTTTAATGCGAATGGATATAACGCATTGTTTGAATCTCATTTATTTTCATAAAAAAATGGTTAAGCTTATTAAAAAAACTAAATTTGCAGTTTAAACATAAAATTCACACATTTTAAACAGAAATTACTACAAAAAAATTCACATATTAACTTATCATCACTTCAAACCAGACATAAACAGAAAAATAAATAAAAGCTTTTTCTTTGAAAAAAGTAATTTATCACATACAACCACTCTTTTTTAATCACATAGTCCAGGATAATGCTGCTATTAGCAGTATAACAACAGACAAAGAGATCCAATAATTCCTTCAAAACAAGAGACTCCAATGTCAGATTAAATGAGTTATTAAAAAATTGTAGCATACGTATCCTTAAATACAAAATTTATAACCCATATAATTACAAAACATTATAATTCAATTGCAGATTAATATCCCACAGGCCCCAAATAAAATGGAAAATAAAAAAAAAACATTAATAAATACAATTTTGTATCAACCTAATAAAGATTTTAATTCCCTACACACACAAAAAATTGCTAAAAAGTTCTAAATCATGGTTTAAGCTTACAGATAAGAAACACAGCACAGAAATAAGATATTTAAATAAAGAGAACTTGTAATAAAACAAAAAAATAATTCTCCATAAAATTTCTTTGACAGACACTCATGTTAAATTCTGCGTATCACATTAATCCTTCAAAAAGTATACGCACAAATTAAAATACAAACTCCCAGCTTTTCAGTATAGATGACAACAAAAACTCCCATTATGAAGTGTATAATTTACTCGTGTTGAGCAACACATCACAATAGCTCCACAGCCTAAACTTTCAGTTCAAAAATAAAACTCACTTTATTTCAACAAAAATTACCACAAAAGATACCTCAGCTAAAATAAAACCTCTTCGAAAACAAAGCTTTGGCACATACTAAAATGCTTTAATAACATATGGTCCATAGGTATACATTAAGCAATATTAACACTGCCAACGGATCCAATAAAAGATTTTAAACAATTTGTTAAAATAAACATTCGTCATTTACATAGCTCGATATATTTTTATATACTTTATAAACTAGACTATTTTGAAAACATCAAGTTTTGATTCCAGGTAAATATCCCTTAACTAAAATGGGCAAAAGCAGCATTTTTTATTGTCTAAGAGGATAACATAATAAATACTATTTCCACTATCAATTTAGCACAGATTTCAAAGTATTCAAGAGCAAAAGATTCTCATCTATCCACACCCATAAAAAAGACACAAAATTTTACTTCCAGTAAGTTCATAAATCAGACATTTAGGCTACAAAAGAAGTAAAACAAATCACATAAATCCTCGTAGGAATTTCAAATCATCACGAGATTTTAAAAATAGAATTTTCAATAAAATTCCATACCCATAGAATTTCTCAGACAATTTGGATAAATTATGCACATCAGAAAAGTCCTTCTAAACAAACTCACAATTTAAACAGAAACTCACGCATATTCCGCAGGCAAATATTACTACAGACAAAAGTCTAATTTACAAAGTGCATAATTCACTCGTAATAAATTCCACAGGTCAAAACAGTTCCACGAATTAAACTCGCAGTTTAAACTAAAAACAGCATATTCTCCACAGAAATCACCACAAAATATTTTCAGCAAGTACCATCACCTCAAACAAAAGAGAACCCCCAAAATATAAAATAAAACCATTTTCTTTAGGGGGAAAATTGTCAAATAAAGCCACGATGTTTTAATCATATGCTCTACAGTAATGCACACAACCAATATAACAAAAGACATAAAGGATATAATAAAAGTAAAAAAAAAAATCAAAACATTTGCAATTAAAAAAAAAAACAATATATATTTGTAACACATTTTTGCAAAGCATCATAATTCAATTCTATGTAATATCCTCCAAACGAAAACCAAAACAAAATATTAAATCCACAGAGAATAATAAATAAACGCAATAAAGACTATTGACGCAATCAATCTAGTACAGAATTAATAAAGGATCCACATTTTAGTTTTTAAAGTTTCCACATGCACGCATAAAAAAAAACAAATACACACATCAAAACATTACCGAAAAACATTTCACAAACCATGTCTTAACCAAATTATAAAAACATTGTAAGAAAATGCATCACCTTCCTAGGACGACCGACGGACCTAGCTCCGGGCCTTCTGGGCAGCAAAGCAAAGCCACGCCCACGGCCTCGTCCGCGACCCCTTCCCCTGCCTCGTCCGGAGGAAATGATCTCATCAGCAAACTTCTTCGGTCGTGCCCGTACTCTAGGCCCGAGTAAAATTCCATCCTCAGCAGGAACCGGTTCAGCCACGGGCTCCGAGTCCAGTGCGGTAGCTGCAGTAGGTGTAGATGGAGCAAAAGGGATTTGAGTTGCTTGGGTCTGGTTCTTCGGCGGGCGACCCGGGCGTCTCTTCGGCCCGACAGAAGCAGAAGTATCTAAAGCAATGGGCTTAGGCTTAGGAGGACGACCCGCGCCTTTTCCAGAACCAACAGGACGGCCTCTCCGGCCCGTTCCAGAGCCCCCTGTGGCGAACTTCTTCGGACGGCCCGGACGTTTCTTGGTGCTCTCAGTTTGCACAGGCTCGTCAGAAAGCCCAAGCGCGGCCCAGACAGGCTCAGCATTCTGCTGAACCGACGGGATTACAGCGTCCTCGGTTTGCGCCAGAGCCAGAGGCTGAGGCAAGTTGTGGACAGGGGTTTGGGCCTTGCGAGGCCGCCCTCTGGGCCTGGGAGTGGTTGAAGCAGACGGCCCAGCCGCACCGGCCTCCGCAGCAGCAGCAGATCTAGGAAGCGCGTAGGACTTCTTCACCATCACGAGCATTCCACTGTTTTTCATCCGAGTCAAGTGCTGAGTCAACAAGGTTGAGTGATTCGGTGGAAGCTGCTCCTTGTAAACTTGCTCCATGTACTTCCCTATAGCCTTCTTGCTCGAACCGTCCTTCTCCTTCAGCGCCTCGATTGCCGTGTATATCATCTTAACAATAATTTAATTAGGTTTGAAAACACAGAAAGAAACGAATTCTTTGTTTTTTTTTTTTGTTCGGAAATTTGTTTTGCTTACCTCAGCGTAGGGTGGGTGGTTGGCCGGTGGTTCGGCAATGGGCGGCGGGAGGTGGTCGTTGGGGTCAGCTGGGAAGGGGACGGCGGTGGCAGGCGGAGCTGGCGGTGGGGAGATCGAGGATGGCTCCATGTCTAGAGAGAAAGGGTAGATTCGAAAATTGGGAATTGGATTAGTTTCACTGGAGAGGAAAAAAAAAAAAAAAAAAAGAGTGTGTTAATATAATTGATTTAGAAAGAGAAACTGGGTTAGGTGGTTTTGTAAAATGTGCTGTGTGTGTGGTGGAAATTGGAACAATCAATGGTGATGAGTTCATCATGACGGTCATTATTTAACCCAAGCGATTCCATGGATTCATCCAGGCCGTTCATTTCCCCACTTTCATTTTGCTTACGTGGACTATATCACTCTCTTCTCACTGAGCTTGCTTTGCCGTTTGGGGTTTGCATTGCGCCCCTTCGCTTTTCCCTATTCTGCACTCTTCCCCAAATGCTTTTATATTTTACAAGAATTAGTTTAAGGAATATTATTAATATTTCTCCTCTATTTTCAAAAATAGTTTAAGGAATATTAATATTTTAGATTTTTCAGCTTTTTTGTTATCACATTTTTTAATATTTTACCTTTCTTCCATTTATATTTTTTTAATAAATAATTAATTATTAAAGATGTATGAACATAAAATAACATTATTTTCTCTTTTTACATTGTTTCCGGATGCTAATATTTAAGAATTAAATGATTTTTCTGTTTTAATATTTATATTTTAGAAACAATTGTGTTTTTTAATATATTTTTTTTAACATGTTATTTTGATTCTCTTCATCTCTATATTTTTTTTTTATTCTACAATACATAATTAAAGATACAGAATAAAAACAAAAAAATTATGCTTTATTAACATTTTAAAATAACAATAACACTCTATAATATCAAACAAAACAAAGTAGATGCTGTGTACATGTGAGCTATTTTTTTTAGTTTATCCTGAATTTTAACTAGAGAAAGATTTAATATAAAATTAACCTTTTTAAAAACATGAAGTTGAGAAAAATTTAACAATATCTATGATAAATTTCTTCGAATCTTTTAAACATACTAAACAAAATTTGATTATTTAACCTACCAAAAATCTTCCATTTTAGCCATAAAAGCAACTATCAAAGCATATCAATTATGAACTAAAAGTTAAAAAAAAAATAATAATTAAGTTCATTGTAAACACACACAATAAATCTAATTGAGTACTAAAGTTTATACTTTAAAATGAATCATTGATAGAATATAGTTTTTACTATTTTAATGAGATTAATATATAATATTCATCAGTGGCATATACTAATATTCTATGTCTCAAGTGGAATTATGTGAAAAAGACATACAAGAAAATAAAACTAAACATAGTGATATTTAATTATTGTTTATTTTGATGTTAATATAAATAAACCATTATTTATTTATTTAGTCTCATTCTTCAAGTTAATTTTAAAATTCATGTTGGATTTTTAAATTAACGTATGACTAATAATTATTTCTTTACTAATTATATAATTACATTATTAATTATATCTATTATAGAGAAAAAAACAAATAAATTATTAATAATGATATTGAATAATGAAAATAACGATATTGAAAAAAATATTTATTTTGTGTAACTCAGTATTAAATCACATATATTTAAAAACCGATAAAAGTAACCATTTAACATCAAAGGTGAAACATTTATAATTTGAAAAAAAAATAAAAACACCTTTAAATAATAATACTAGGGATTTGATGAGGAAATTTGAGCACCAAACACTCCCTATCCATTCATTAGTTGAAAATTCAAACTTTGAGTTTATAAAAATGTAATCTTTTTCAAAATTCAAAGAAAACAAAATTTTCCCGCGTTTTTGAAAAAGAAGAGGGAGTGCATTGCTTTGAAGTTTTTATTAAATGATGTGTAGTCATTACTGTTCCTATTCGCTCCCATGGACCACAAATGCAAGGGTACAGAATTTAAAATTATTTTTTGAATTTATTGTGAAAGTCTCAAACTTTATTATTATTCCACACTCATCAATGGTTTCTGCTTCCACTTTACACCATTCTGAAACCACATTTAAGTTTGATTAATTCTTTAGTTTCAATCAAACTCTGTCGTTGCCTCACTTTATGATAAGATTCACCATTTTTATTTTTTTTATGTGGTGATAAGATTGAGATTATTAAACTAAAGAGTATTTTGAAATAATTTACCATATCATCTTAAGTTATTATTTTAAGGTTAAATCAAAATTAGGTCTTTAATGTTAGGATTGGACAAACTTTAAAGAGTAATTTGCACCTAATTTAAAAATAAAATAACGACATAAAGACTATAAAAAATTATAGAAGCTAAAGTTTTTTTAATGTTATAACTTACATGTTAAGATAAGTTATATTACTTTTTAGTATTTTAAAAAGTAGTTACACTTTTTTTTAATGTGAATATTATTTTATTCTATAAACGTAAATATAAAAACAATTATGCAACTTTTAATTAAACGTATTTTAAAAGAAACAAGTATAATTTTTTATCTATTTATTTCTAATAACAAATAATTTTTTTTTTGTGATTCAAAACATAATTCAACTAAATAAGAAATTAATATTTAAAAACACATATATTAATTTAAGGAAGTTTTGTTTTAATAAATATTATTGTATGCTTACAAACTAAGAAAATGCATTATAGTTTTTTTATTATATATTAATATTACACTATTTTAATTAAAACATTTTTTGTTAACGCATCTTACATTAAAAACAAACGTTGTCTGTGTCAATATTTATTGAGATTTTCTATGAAAACTGTCGATAAATTTTGCAGCTCTCACACTTAAAATGTGATCACATTATTAATAAAATAAAGAAACTTAAACACTTTACATTAAACAATTAAAACTTTCATAAATTATTGTTATAAAAATTTATCATTTTAACATTAGAACCATCTAGTATTAGAATTACTTTATTTATATATTAAAATGGTTTATTTTTAGCAAACCACACTCAACTTATAAAACTCACAAATTATGGGGACTGACATGTAAATTATAAGTATTTTGTTTTAAAAAAAAATTATTAATATACATTTGAATGGTTAACATATGATGTGAAAATGTACTTGTTCACCACGTTGTTGTTTTTTTAGTTCGCGAAGGTTAAGGTTAAAGTAGTTAAGGTCTTAGGTGGTTTGAACAAGGGTGGTGTTCGCACAATGCATAATTTTTTTATTTGATAAAATATCATAAATTATTTTATTTTTTAAAATTATATTATTTATAATATTATTATTTTTTATTATAAATTTGAGATTATTTTTAATTTAAAATATATATGATTTTTATTAAAAATAAAATATATTATTTCAATATAAATATCATAATTAAATTAATTAAAATAAATTACAATTAGTTATATAAATAATTTTTAACTATTTAAAACAATTTTAATTATATAATTTATATTAAAATAATTTATTTTATTATTAAAATTTTCTTTCTATTTAACGAGTAACAAATATAGTAACCATTTATTTGCTTTAAATAAATTATTTATACATAAATTAATAAAAATATTATTTTTTAACAGTCCCATAACTATACATTATTATATATATATATATATATATATATATATATATATATATATCTTTAAATGCACGTAATAATTAAAAATATAATTTTTTTTAGAGAAAAAATATATTCATGTATTCTATCCATCCAAAAGTAATAAAATATAAATTTATACTATTCTTAGCTTCATACCTACTCCTACTGAAATCTATCGCCTAAAAAATATGCTCTTATGTAACACGATCATCATAGCTAAAAACACATATAAAACATACAGAATAAACTAGTAATTCAATTTAAATATTTAAGATTTCAAATGATAAAACAATATAATTCAACTTCAAATTTTCATATATCACATCACATGTTCATACATACTCATATTCTCAACATTCATATTTGAATAAATAAATCAAATACCACCACTATACAACAAATCAAGTATCTAACATTTCAGCATAGAAGCTACATCTCATGTTATCATACAGTGACTTCACAATTATAAATACTTGACTCTACTTCCAGAATATTCTAATGCATTGAATTAGACTTAGAGATTTGCACCTACGACACTACATTCTCTAAGTGAATATCTCCAACATAGGTACATAATTTGAACACATTCCCTCATATGACAAGGTAAATCCCTATGATTTGGCAAATACGATTTTTTTCATACCACAAGCTAAGTCATAGAAACTTTATTCAACTTTCATCATCTACTACTTTTTTCTCTACGTGAGTCCAATATAGAGTTAGAATATCTCCTTTAAATAAATTACATATATCTCAATATAGTATTTTCTCATTGGAAACTACTATGTTAACTTCATCAATTAATCACAGAGATAACATACATATAAGGGTAATACATGATATTTCTCACATTACAATAATATATTTTTCCTATACATATACTAAACACATATTATTTCATGTTTGTAACATGTATTTGAATAACTTAAGACATATACACATCATTTCTCACGTTATAACAAAACATAATATTTTTCAATTTTGACCTCTACCTATTCTTTTGATCATAACTTTTTTATAGACATCTTTTTTAACTCATTTTTTAGGCTTCGATTTTCATATATAGAACATTAAATTTGGAATTTAAACACTAGTGCAGAATAGGGCTTTTACGTCACCCAATTGTCGTCGCATGCATGTACATTCGACGTAAATAAAACGCGGTGGCAATTTTGTAAATATGAGACAAAAATTTTACGTCACACATCTCAGTATGCGACGTAAAAGGCCATCTTTTACGTCGTGCCCTCCAGGTGCGACGTAAAAGATGGCTTTTTACGTCGCGTGCTGGGATGCGCAACGTAAAAAGTCTATTTTATTTCCCTCCAGACCCACTTCCTCGTCTCGCGCAACCAGGGTTTTTGAGAATGACGACGAGAACGACGACAACAGCTACCTCTGCACACCATTTTCGAGCAGTTTTACAGTGAAAAGCATCTACATTATCGTGTCATTTGACGAACTTGATCTTTCTCCCCGATTGGATTCGAG